ACGGACTGATCATCGTGATGCTGGATTAACCCAGAATGAAGCTTTCACTCAAATCGATGCAACCGGTCCTCACCATTCCGGCATCACCCAACAGGTCGCAATGACCCCACAACCCGGGGTCACTCAGCAGCACGTAATCACCCCGCAGGCGAACGGCTACATCCTTGGTCAGGGCCCCCCGTCTCAGATTCGCCCACCACCCCCTGGTGTCACCAGGGTTTACTACGAGAACCCGACAACCGAGAGCCAACTTGCCGCCGCGGGTGGCTCCATCGCCAATCAGAACGCTTCTCCGGGGTCGGCGCCCGTGGCTGGCGTTGTGCGAGTAATCCACCTGGATTATGTTGTGTACAACCGCTCAGTCACCAAACAGATCTCTCTGGTTCAACCGTCGACTTCAAAGGGTTCGAAATCTAGCGCCGCGGCCGCCGATCGGGAGTGGGACTGTATTACCCCTTGGAACGAGAACATATGGAAGACCGCGCTAGAATCATGGTCCTGGCCTAATGCCCAGGCGGTCATAATCACGTTGCTTGGGGAATATCGCGATCACATTACCAAGCACCTGACAGCTCTTCACGAGGAGGGCCTCCTCAAGTGGCAATGTATCATCAATAATCACGGGACGTATGGCGTAGGAGCCAAGTATTACGTGTACTCCGATGAGGATTTCCATCCCTTTGTTCAGACTATGCTTACCAAGCCAAAATCGAAGGTGACTATTAAGATCGTCATGGACGACCCGCGTCGGCACGCAAAAGACAAGATAACTGTATGTTTTTCCTCATTCTCCTGTTCATTTGGATGGCTGTATTGATGGTTCCTTGTAATTGATCCCAGGAACAAGCGGAGAATGACAGCCTTGCGATGAGCTATGCAGAAGACGATGACCGCTTGGCCTTACAGAGGGTGCAAGCCCGCTTGGCAATCAATGTAAGTATGATCCTCTTGGCTCCTTGGTCAGTCAGACGGACAGCTGATGCAGCCTTGTCTAGCCCAAGGCGATGTTGCCTCAGGCGTGCGCACAAAGTTCGTGGCCGAGATCACTCAGCACATCCTGGTGACCTATGGCGGGGATAGCGAGTCCATGCGTATCCAAGACCCTGAGGACACCAGACATTCAATTCGCGTGACGCGAGAATGTCTTTACATCTGGGCCCGCGCCTTGGTTGCTGAGGCAAAAGGCGTCACCACCGAGGTTCCCCCCAAAACCAAGGAGTTTGTATCTGAGGCGGTGACGGTGTACACCCTGGCCGAGCAGAAAGCGAAGGACAAGCGCCGGGCCTCCAGGGCCAGAACCACCGATGCACCTGCCCCAGCGGTCAAATTCACCGCTCCTCGTCGAACGGCGTCGGGTAGGATTCGGCCCCCTCGTATCGACATGTCTGGAGTGACTGACGTGGACTCCTTCGAGACCCCGGATGAGCTCCTTGCTGCCAGCACTCCGGCCACCTCTAAGCCTTCCGGTGTCGCCACAACCAAGGAGCAACTCACCACCCCAGTTGATCAACAACGTCGTGGATATGCTCGACGGGAGTCAATTGCGTCACATGATTCGTCCGTCGTCAGTTCAGCCGCAAACTTACCCCAAGCGACTATACCCCAGGACAACACCCCTTCTGAGTGGTCCGCGGGGCCGGCTTCTGAACTCGCTTACACGCCTGTGGACAGCACGGACGGGACCGACATCGAGTGCGTCTCAGGCGGGGCCAAAGGGCCAGACTGTACTCGCTCCCCCGCCCGCAAGATTCCCAGGAGCCCCGCCGGAGGGATGGGGATTGCCCACACGATCAGCCGGCTCGATTACAACAGACATCGAAGTCCTTTGGCCGGGCGGCCGGCGTCGCCTACGAGGAAGGTGCCGAGTACCCAACGGTCGGCTAGCTTGGTCTCGGAGCATGCAGGCAGATTGGGCGGACGTATTGGGCTCCCGGCTCTGAACGCCTCTGGACGGGCTCTGACCATCGAGGCGTTCTTGGACTTCTGCAATTTTGAGAAGGACGACCCGGTCCCTCGCTTCCTCATCAAATTGAATCATATCCGCCACTGGGATTTTTTCTACTGCGACACCAATGTCGCCCAACTCCAGGGCATGGGCTTCCCTTACCCCATTGCCACCCAACTCATGAACGGGGCCAACGGTTTGGAGAAGACCCACACGGAATCCACGGGTACTGAAATGGTTACCCAAGTCCCCGAATCAGAGAGCCAAGATGACAGTGAGGACCGTAATCCCTACCCCCCCTCGCCCGAGTACTAGGGCCTCCCGACCGGGCATATCCATCATATCTTCGACCGCACGGTCGACCCTTGAAACTCCTGCTTGTTGGTTTCCTGTGCAACGTCGTTTGCGTGCAACCTCAGTTGATGTCTCCCGCCTTTTTTCTCTCTATGCTGATCAGATGTTATCTCGCGCCTGTTTGCTATGAATTATGTTTCCACACCTCTCTCAAATATTGGATCTGTCACCTTGTTTTCTCTCTATGATCTGGCCCCGCTAGGGTCATCTCTCATAAATTGGAACTCTTGCCTTGTTTTCTCTATATGATCTGACCCCGCAAGCGTCATCTCTCAAAAACTCGATCTCTCGCCTTGTTTTCTCTATAATCATAATGATATAATATATGATATATAATTATGATATTCAAACAGTTTGAGCTCCTTTATCTTTACATACACTAGGTGTGAAGGACCAGTTGAGACCGAATGTGCATTACACTTGCATATCACGACTACACTCGAATTGTTACGGGAGACTGAAAGGTTTGAGCCGAGATCGTCTCAAACCAGGTGGGGAAGACAGGCACACAGGCCAGACAGCGCAGTGAGCATAAGAAACCCATGAGACGCAAGGAGAGCAGACAACAAGCAGGGAAAACAAGCAGACAGGCACGCAGGCCAGACAGCGCAGTGAGCATAAGAACCCGATGAGTCGCGAGGAGAGCAGACAACAAGCAGGGAAAACAAGGAAAAAAATATCGACCCGACGGGACCCCAGAGGCCGAACCCGATGAGTCGCAAGGAGAGCAGACAACAAGCAGGGAATACAAGGAAAAAAAGATCGACCCGACGGGACCCCAGAGGCCACTACCCAGCATAACCGCTACCCAAGAAAAGAGAACGCATGAGTACGGGGGTGACAATAGTTGGCAAGAAATCCATCACGATCTGAGCATCCGCATCCGTCCCTGTCAGGATCTCGGCCCGTTTGAGCCGACTCTTCAAAACCGAGAATACCTTCTCGATCGGATTCATGTCAGGAGAATACGGCGGCAAATAAACCAGCAAGACGTCGGCGTTGTCGCAAATCTCTGCTATACGGCCCCCGTGATGCACCGGCGCATTATCCAATACAAGGATACTATTTGGACCGGGGAAGCGACCCATCACTGGCATCTGACAAGGCAAGTAGATCAGCCTAAGACCACCAGTTATATTCTCCATGCATGCAAATATAACTCACCAACACATTCTCCAAGAAGAACTCGACATCCAATCGGCGCATCGATCCCTCATGAGCAGTGACTGCCATTAACCCTTCCAAGGACACGGCCGGGAGGACGCTAATACGTGAAGAGGTGAGAGGCCTCGCAATCCTCTGGGTACGGCGGCCCCGCCGGGCCCAAGCGCGATCACGAGAGTGTGTCCCAAGCGATACAGCACATTCGTCTGTCAATACCAGTCCAGCAGGCATGCATGAAATAAGAGGGTCAGGTGAATCAGCCAGATCAAAGCAGGTGAAGTCAGGCGGCCCCTGCTTACCCATGAATACAAAAAAATTCGACGGGTACGCCCCCACACGGGCCGTATACTCGGCGCGTTGCAAAGGGCTTTGAGCCGGATGGATGGTTCGGGCGGTCTTCTTGGTGAGGTGGAGCCGAGCCCTCAATTCGTCAGTGATTGTGCTTAAAGGGTGAAGTACCCCGGTCATTGCCTCAAGGTGGGACTGAAGCTCGTCGATGTAAAGGGTCGGTTCCACATCCAGGACAGCCTGGAGGAAGTCCGCCTCCTCGCTGGATATCGCCAGAGGGCGACCTCTTTGCTCGTAAGTTGCCGGGTCACGGACCACATCCCGAGTCGTGTGATAGAGTCGGAGCCAGCGAGTCAGCGAGTCATGGGAGATGTTGTGGCTCACGGAGCGATTGATCCGGTCGAGAGTGTAACCGCGAAGGGCCAATCTGACCACGATCACTTTGACCTGCCTATGGTAGAAAACATATGGCATTGCGGCTGCCTATCACGATAAAATGCAATGTTAGCAGGAGTGCATGATCATTCCGAGGAAGATGGGCACAAACGACTTACTGGCAGTTGAATGGATAGATAACCGGCAGAAAGAACGGCCTAAACAGCAAAGGATTGGAAAAGCGGACACGTATTGGCTGATGGTGGGTGGTTGGAGGCAGGAGGGGAGGGGCGGGCGGTTTATTTCGGTGGGGGGGAGGGCAGGCGGGCCTGGTCGAGTAGAGAGGGAAGAGGGAGGAAGGAATGGAAGGATACAGGGTATGTATTCTTCCAAACCTTCCGATATTCCAACCTAGATATTTTTTATTTTCTGGGATTTGGCCAACCGGAAACGCAAGCTTTTTCGGTTTAGCTGTAAACTTAATCTGTTGCATTTTTGCTGGCCAAACCAATTCATACCACTTTTGTGTGTAAGATTTTTTTTTTTTTTTTTGAAAAAAAAAAAAAAAATCATATATTTATGGTTACTGACATATTTTGGGGGTTTCCCAGGGTCCAGCTAGAGCTACTGGAAGTGTGAGTGGATATGTGGGGGTTGACTTGTGGGTCCATCTGACTGCATACTGAGGTTGGGCTGGTACAGCTCCAGCCATCTCTCCAAGTAGTTGAGGCCTGATCAAATACAAAGAATCCGTCTGTCCCAGACTCCCACTAGACTTGTGCGTTTGTTTTTTCCTTTTTCATTTTGTGGGAAAGTGGGTAGTTGTGATACACTACAATGTCAATACATATCTGGCACATTTGAGATTTGTCCTCACAGTCTCAGATTGAAGATTGGTGATCATAGATAGCTTCAGTTACCAAATATGAATGTGATATTTAGGACTCAATGCAGATCTTACTGGGGGTTGTTTCCCCCAGGATTCATTCAAAATGGCTGCAACAATACAACATAAACCAGATCATAAATATCCAAAATCTCCCAAAAAAGAATCTCAAAGGCCCTCTATTCACTTGACAATATAATCTCATTTCTTTGCAAAGGAGGATTGTGATGAGTCACAAAAAGGAAAACAAGATTATCAAAACCAACACTGGACCAGATATACTAACAATTGTGTTATTGTACTAGTGCAGTGTGACCAAATTCTGTTACATTTTGGTGTAGCATGTCAGAATTCCACTGTGCCAGGCTTATACTACTTACAAAGGTAGGAGTTTGTAGTGTTATAGCCGTAGACAAAATAAGGAACAGGGAGAATGTCAATTTCTTTTGAGGCTGAGGTCAACAGCTCTTGAGACTTACTCAGCTTCCTGAAGCAATAAGCCAGGGCAATCCAAGACTCAGACCTGTACATAGTCAAGTTTGAGAAAGAATAGAGTAGGATAACAATCAATGGGTAACAGTCCAGGTTACCAGCACTTGTATCAAGGATTAAATCTAGAGGTGCTAATATTGTTTCTGTAAGATATAGGGTATAAAGGATCCTAGTCAAAAGGTATTTCTAAAGATGGGTATTTATAGTGAATGCTCAAGATATCTTCTTAAATATCATTGGCTTTCTTCCAAAGGTTTCCCAAGAAGATAATCAATGAGCTTATAGCTCAAGTTCAAACAAGGGGCCTTCTTGACCAATGTAGCCTAGAGATGGTCTGAGGGTATCCGTTGCGGATACTCGTTATCTGACCAGGGGATACCGATTTGGGTGCTGATGGCCGCTTTTCCCCAAACTCCTGGCGGATATCTGGGTATCTCCACGGATACCCAAGGCCAAGAGGATCAGAGTGGCCGTCTGGAAGGAAAGCCTTGCAGTTGGCAAGGTACATGTGCCTTGTTGACTGGAAGGAAACCCTTCCAGCAGGCAAGGTACATGTACCTCCCCAACCATTTAAAGGGCAGGTATCCGTGGATACCCGCTGTGGCTTCCAGATACCCACCAGCGGATGCGGATTTCCAACTCCACTGAAAAAGAGAGGGGATATCTGTCAGGGTTTAAGTAATCCTAACCCCTGCACAAGAATTGAGGAAGAATAAATAAAAAGAATTAAAAAGAAATAAAGCCCTAGCGCACAAGGAGTGAATAATGCTGCGGCACAACTAAAACCAACACAAGACAACGTGTCCTGATCCCCAATCGTTGAAAGAAATATCTACCTTTCCAAACCATTTGTCAACCCCAACAATTAAAATTACCACAAATCAGCCGGTGACCTCTAATAGTATTTAAGAGAGTCACTGACTGTTATTCCCTTTTCCTTTCCTTCCTCAGACAATTACAGAAACCTGAACTGCTACTACTACTTCAACTTTAGTATCAAGCCTACCTAGCCGACTAGACCAGCACTTGTCAACTATTAGCTTAAGCTTGTGGTTTTCACTACCTGGATAGGCAGCTTCAGCCTGAAGACTACTCCTCGATCTATACCTAGCTCTCTTGAGCTCCTGAATCTATCCTCAACTTCACACCTCCCATTCACGACTCTTCAACAATCCTATTACGCCTCCACGACTCACCTTACAACTAGTTCAACTGCCTGTTAACTTGATGTATTATCCCCCTAACTATCTGTGTTCCAGAGGTTAGTTGCCCCGGCTATACAGCTTCTGGAAGATCCATGTAAGCCTCATCGAGACTTCTCTGAGCCGCGCTGAATTTGCACTAATACCCTACTCTCTCAATTCTCCGAAGCACGTTCCTTCATTGAGTCAGACTCTAGTTACTACCTCTTGTCCCACCAGTAAGTAACCCAATCCTGACAATATCTGCATCAGGGCTGATATCCAGATGCGGAGGAGCCATCTCCAATGTAGCCTGTTTACTTTGTGTGAGGTTCTACTCAGCACAACTTTGTACTCTTTTTTGTTTCATGCAAGCTTCCACACATTTGTTTTTCTAGTTGTGATCTCAGCATGTTTCTATCTTCTTAAATGTTGATTATTTATTTGTTCTATCTTGTTTATGTTCTCTCATTCTATATTCTTTGTCTTATTACTATTATTATTATAATTTAAGCTTATAACTTTATGTACTATTTATGGAAAGATTATTATTGTATCTTAGTTGATATTTTATATCAACTGCCATAGTCAAGAGTGTCAATACATATGTCACACTCTTGCCTGTTGACACACCAAGTGTGCACTAATGCTGTGCTTGTAGGGCTCAGTGCCATTCTACACTATGTTATGGTCTAGTATCACAGACCCAAAATGCTGCCAAACAGAACTTTAGCAAAGCATAGTGGAAAGAAATTTGAGCAGAAACAGCTAATACTACACAGTTTGGGTGCAATCAAAGTTGCTGTGCTAACACTAAATTTGTAAGTAACATATTGTAGCATAGCAGCCCATCCTTTTCACAAGGGCTGACAACCCATTATGTTCCAAGCCAACAATATCGATCAAAATACTGTTCTGTTACCCTACCACTGTTGGCTATGACATACTGTAACATAAACGTCCACTGCTACTTAAACTGGGTTGGATTCAGAACCAACAATTCCAAGGGGAACTGATACAGGCCAGACAGAGTTTGTGGAAATTTGATGGACTATGGAAAATTTTTGACAAAAACATACTGATCAATTTTTGGCCTGAATTGTCCAATCAGACAACTGATAAGGTTTATGTGCATAGAAACACTAACTCTTGATGTATGCAATTAAACCTTTCAGTTTGGTTTCCCTTGGGCAAAATTCCAGGAGGTGCATACTACTTATCTATGGTTAATGTATGTACTGCATTTTTTGACATTGCTGTTGCAGTTTAATACCAAGAATTAATACAGTTATCAAAGTTAATTGCAACACCCCCAGAGAAATATTTCTGTAATATTGTATATGTGAAACAGTTCTGGGTTCTTGTGTGACTTGGATAACACCCTGTGCTTAAACAAATTAACCCTAATCTTACATTCGAGTATCAACAATATATATGTAGATGTAACACATTCAACAGGCTGGCTGGAGCTTAAATCTTTTGCCTTTTTGTACAATGATTGTTGGGCTGCTTGTGTGTTACTTGTCAAGATGTGACAACCTTGTAAGTTTTGTTTTACTTTCTGATGTTAGGCCCACCTCTCCTAAACAGTGGCAAACTAGTGTCTATTTAAAGGGACTGTTTTTTCATTTCTCTGGGGCACATCCTACTGGTTGTATTTTTTCCCTCTTCAAGCCATTCTGATCAATCTTTTCAACTGCAAAAGAAGAATAAATCCAAGTTTCCAACCACTTTGAGGTGTAGAAACCATCTTGATTTTATTCTTGCTCAGATTCCAGAAGCACCCATACCCAGACATCTTGATTGAATTGCTCCCAGGCTCCCAGCATACATATAAAAACTCTAAACAAAGCTTAAAATCACTTTTTATCCAACTCACTGATATTTTGTGACCAGTGCTCATACTCTAACTCTCTTCTCTGCATCACATACCTGTCCTGAAGATCAAAGTGAGAAAGAGCCCAATCCTTGTCCAATCAAAACACAAAGCTAAAATAACTCACCTGATAATAAAGACAACTTGAAGCAACTTCACAAACATTGTAGCCTACCATGCTTTCCTCATTTTGGATTATTGGCCTGATGTTTAGCATCATTCATGTTGAAGGACTTGTTCAGGGCCCCATGGAGAAACTCATTGGGTATCCATTCATGAGGTTATGTGGTGATCGTGTGGACAAAGGGCACATTTTTGTAGAGTATACAAGCAAGATTCCTTCATCTGATGTGGGACAAGCAGATTTCCAGAATATAAGATTGAAAACTGAAGATATCATAATGGCCTTGGCTGAATTAGAGGCAACAAATCACAGAGATAGTGCTATGCAAGATCTTTCTGAATTTTTAGCATTTGACAAGGCTGCAGGATTCAAAATCAATTACGTGGTTGTAGATACTGTTAGAGCCCGGGATGGGAGCTCACTAGACCATTGGACTCGGAACTCTTCAAGCCACTTTTATTGTTTTAAAAGCTTAGCTCCTGAGCCAGCCCAGCTGATCAATCAAATTTGCACCCAGAAAATATCTCAAATTTTATTCCCAGAGGCACATACCTTGCCATCCTCTTCCAAAGGACCAAGTGGTCAGTACATACATGGACTCTAGTCCCAAAATCCTTCTAAAATGGAGAATCAATCATGTTCACAAGACTCCACTCACTTCCTACTTCCTTTTTGTTTAACACAGGTGAAAGGATGCAAGAAGAGGATCAACATGGTCTAAACTTGTCAAAGGATATGGATCTAAAAAGCCTCAAAGTGGGAGAGACCCAAAACTCAGATAACATTATAGAGCCAGGTGAGCATATCATTTTGATGAATAAAACTAGAGACGGAGAGGATCAGCTCATGAAAATTTGACTGAAAATCAAATAGCTCCAATCAATCATGAGAGCTAGGAGATAGCTTTTTTGTGGATCGGAGCTTCTATTGAACAACTGGTCGGCTCTCAGAGTGATAGCTCAAATAATTGATTTTTCAAAAAAAAAACTGAGATGTACTTTCTTCTTCTTCCACTTTATTCTAAAATTGAATTCCCATGGATGGAAGAAATCAAATTGAAACCATCTCACATTCTTCTCTATAAGAAAGAATGAACAAGGAGATCCAAGAATTTCCTTAAGTTCTGAACTACCCTGGTCCTGTTCAAAATAACAAAATAAAAATACAAAAATTTTTAGATGGAAATCAAAACTTTTCTCTTTTCATATTCATCTTCTTCTTCCTATTTCATCTCCCTTACTCCCAATATCTTTTGTACAGAGTTGGATTTGTAACTTCTCAGGCTTTGTTCATTCCTGTGATCATAAATTATCTAGTCATCACCAAACAGTTTTTGCTGTCTTGTTTTACTCTTGCAGGGATTTCCCAAAATGTCTTTGTGATGAGTATGGACGATGCAGTAAATTCAGTGAGGATGGATGTCAAGTTCACTTGCTCAAAACATCTGTTGTCTCTGGGAGGCAAATAACTGGCACCAATTCATGATGAACAAAAATTATGTACAAATTCTGCATGAATGAAGTTAGGTCCATGATAGAACGGTGTGAGCTCAGCTGAAAAGAACGTGTCAAACTCCTACTAACATTGGTTGATTAGGCCGCCAGTCCACGCAGGAGCTTTTAGGGAGCTCTGCATTTGCAAGGAAATGCTGGCAGGGATGTCACCAACCTGAAGTGTCACCTTTATCAAGCTGTCACTGTATCAGACTTGATCGTGCCGCGGCTAAGTAGCTTGAATTTTGGTTGCAGTGAGGCCACAAATGCTCGGAAGAGGGGCTGCTGAACTAGGGTGAAGGGATGCTCGTGTGTGATGATCATTTTCAATAAGAGTTCATGAGAGGCCTTCTGAGAAAAAATCCAAGTCGATACTGATGACGAAGTTTCTGAAACTTTCAGTAATGATTGTTTGCTCTTTGTGGCATAGGAGCTACATCGTTCTAGGTGTTGCCAAAGGTGTTTCGTTCCATTCTTGCTCTTTCCGTCCATTGGCGCTTGACAATAAACACAGATTGCCTTCACTTCGGTGCCTGGGAAGCACAAAAACATATTAGTAAAATCTTCAAGGCTGAAAGAAATTAATAATCAAAACAGACCCTTTGCCTTCTTTGTAAAATGTGTCCAAATATCACTGGTGGTCTTGCGCTTCCTTGTTTGATGAGTAGCAACATCTTGAGCACTTGATGTGGCCTGCTCATTTTTGTCCGGATTCTTTTGTGATGCTGAGGGAGTAGCAGAGGTTGTCTGGGTGTTGGGGGAAGTCTCAGAAATCTGGATGTCATCGGAATCTGAGGAAGATGGTAGCACAGAAGTGCAACTTTTTCTGAATCGGGCCATTTGGGGATCTGAGGGAGCTGTTGAGTCTTGATGGGGGAATAGCCACAGCTACGTGTTAATGGATGTCTTCCCGTCGAGGTTTACAACCCTCCCAGAATTGAATTTACACCCCCAAGATCTTAATTTTTGGTGTAAAAAATTGTTTTTTTGCAAGCCTGGCGATGATACCTCTCACATGAGCTGGTTGGAATCATGATTGGGGTGTTAATTTTAGACTGGGGAGGGCTTAAAAAGCACTCTAAATGCCGACGGGAAGTCCTCCAATATTTGAATAGCCTGGAACTTAGAAGGCAGGATCCAAGAACAATACACACACAGCTACCCTATGTAATTGGGTTTTAGCCGGGTTTGTGGGCCGGCCCACATAAAAAACCTCTGCCCGAACCCGGCCAATACTTTCTAGCGGGTCTTGATGGGCCGGGTCAGCTCTTTATGGCAGGACCTGAAGGCTGCCCAAACCCAACCCCAAACCCGACGGGTCATGGGTCTTTCCGGGTTGGCCCGACCCATTTACATCCCTAGATTCGGTGGTCAATACCATGGTGATCGCCATCGGCCATCGGCATTGCACCCACCACATCCACCACTTGGCACATACCATGAGCAACCCGAGTAACCCGCGAGTGTTCTTCGATTTCTCGATCAATAATGCACCCGGAAGGCGAGTGATCTTCGAGCTCTTCAAAGATCGGGTGCCTATCACCGCCGAAAAGTAACTCATAGTCTTTTTTTTTTTCTTTTCAATTGGACCTTGGTCTCTTTACTTTGTTTGACTTTTTGACTGACATCAACATCCCTCGTTTCATTTTTTTTTTTTTTTGACATCCTAGTTTTCGCGCACTTTGTACGGGCGAGAAAGGGTACAGCACTATCGCACCCGAGACCCTGTTATGCTACAAGGTCCGGGTTTTCTTGTCTTCTAGAGATCCTCTTTGGTTTTGGAATGAAGGAAAGAAACGTGGATGGATATGGAGCGCCTATTCTTACATGATGACTTACTTTCCGACGCCTATGTACTGCTAGGGATCACCAGTCCATCGAATCGTTCCCAACTTCATGATCCAAGGAGGAGATTTCATCCAACAGAATGGCAAATCGGGTCAGTCCGATCTCCCGCCCTACCTAATCAACGCGTGATCAAAATGAATGAATGAAAGAAAGTGCCAGACCATTCATCTGCTCATCCTTCCACACGCCGTCACAGGTGAATCGATTTATGGTGGCGAATTTGATGATGAGAATTTCGAACTGGATTGTGATCGGGAAGGGCAAGTGCTAGCTTGATGGGTTATACTCGTCGATCAACCAAAAACCATCCAAGCTGACAATGATTTCAACCATTTTCTTTCACTCCAGCTTACTTGTCATGGCGAACAAGGGCCCGAATACCAACCAATCCCAATGGTTTATCACCTTGACACCAGCAGATCATCTTACAGGAAAACATGTGGTCTTTGGTCGAGTTCAATCCGGGTTTGAGGTCGTTCAAGAAATAGGCGGACTGGAGACTGATAGGAAGCATCGACCTCTGGGCGGAGCTGAGGCTGTGAAGATTGTACATTGTGGGCAATTGGAACGCAAACAGAAACCTCCGGTGGAAAAAACTGTAGATGAACCTGTGAAGAGTTGCGTCTCAAACTTTCCCCTGCGGCGGTCTGAATGTTACCCAAGGGATTTTTAAATCATATCTGAAGGCTGATTTCTTTCATATGGTATTCTGTATCGCTACCCTTTAGATAGGTCTGATTCCAAACTGGATCGCAAACGACACTCACGTTCTTCCAGTGTGGCCTCCTCTGCGAGTTCACGACGATCGTCCTCGAGCTCAGGAAGCTCCGAATCCTCTGGTGCGGCCCGACGCCGACGGCGGCAAGAAAAGAAGGAGAAAAAGAAGGCGCGCAAGTCTCAAAAGTCTTCAAAATCTAAAAAACTCAAGTTCAAAGAACAGCCCGTCGAAGAGCATCCTCCGCAGGCCGACGATCCTCGGGCTCAAGAAGAGCTAGCATTGATCAAAGTGGAGCTGGAGCATCAACAAGCCGAACGACAGCGTCAATCAGAAGAAGAGCTGGCCCGGCTCGAAGAAGAAAAGGCGCGCAAAGCTCGGGCACTCGAACTTCTCAAGAATAAACCACATAGGAAAGAAGGCGGGGTGATTTTCAAAGGTATCAGATAAATTTTAAATTATCTTTCCAGATTGTACATTTAAATCGACTTGCTAATGTTTATTATTTTTATTTTTATTTTGTGTCTTACCCCACAGGACGTGGGTCGATGCGATATCGTGACAGTGATGTGACGTTTGGAACAAGAGCTTGGAAGGACTGAGTTTACGCAACAATAAGGATTGTGGTATGCACGTGAAGCTATCAGTTTGGATAGGTCATAAGAATAACGCCCAATCTTCAAACCTGAAACACACATCCTATCACTGTCAGCTCTGTGTAGAAAGTGCGATTGTTATTTCAAGTGAGTTGATTGGTGGCCAACATCGTCCAATACTGATCAGGATGCCAATCCGAGACAGAGATTTACAGTCTCAGATCACCCCAATAGTATAAATCACCTCCAAACCAAGTCCCTCATTCTGTTGCCAATGATATGGCCATCTTGACCAGCGAGATTTCATGTTAAAGATCCCGGTACGTTAAGCCAATGTATCTGACCTTGCAGCCATATCTTTGCCGGCATGTCAAATCGTAGTAAGTGGCTTGTCGTGTTGCAACAACTGGCAGACCAAAAAACAAAGAGAGATGTTGCCAATCGACCATCCCATCCATGACCTCATGGTGAACCCTGTTGGCCTGCGGTGAAGCTGATTGGATCGTCGAGGAAAAGCTCATGCTGGAGTGTGCAGGCTTGTGTTGGCCACTGTAGGACTCGGTTTAACAGCTACAAGATTCGGGTTAGGTAGTCTCAGGTGTGGGGGGGTGGGCCGGATGGCAGAAACTTGCAGTTTGATGTTGAAGGGGTCGGAAACTTGGAATCTTGGATTTCCAGATCTTCTGGAAACAGCTTCTACTCTAGATTCAATGGGGAGGTCAAGCAGACCAACAACACGACTCCAGAAATCCATAACTTGGAGGTTCGAGGAACACTAATCTTCGGAAGACTATCAAGAGCCTTTCGTTTCTCTCAAAAGCAAGTTGTCCACCTTAAGATAAGGGCAGAGAAAAGGAGACCTAATGGATATGTAAATATGTGTATGTATGAATTACTTTTTCGAACGTAAGCTGGGCCGAGGAGATCTTGGGTTCTAATAATGTACGACCAAAAGAAAGAAAGAAAGAAAGAAAGAAAAAAAGGATGAAAGAGAAGAGAAAGAGAGGGAGAGAGAGATAAAATGATGAAAAAGTTGGTCATCAGAGATCAAAGAAGAAATGAACATGAACATGAAATAAAAAAAAATGACCATTGTTTTTCTTTGTTTAGTCAGAGCAAAAAGAAACCAAGCAAACAAAAATGGAGAAAAAGAAAAAGGAGGATAAAAGTTGTAGATCTTTTTATTGTGTCTTGATCTACTGCTACCTCAGATCCTCATTTCTTAATAAAAAGAAAGATATAACCCAACAAAGTAAATGAAATATATGGAAAAATCAAGCTCAGACAACAAATTAATCGAGACGCTTAGCTACGATGATGATATTTTGAAACACTTCCAAGGCTCTTTTCCAGGACTCACTACCCTCCTAGGAAATTGAGTCAAGGATTCAATGCCTTTTAGCACCTCCTAGGACCTGCTTTCTTTCTAAGCCAATTGCATAATGTATGCGAGACCAGATTCCAGTGGTAAAATGATTTGCTTTTTTACTATTCGTGTTTGATTTCGAGTCCTTCGACTCGTTTTAAAATAGTCCTGGGTGGTTGGGCCATTGATTTGCTAGATTGTTCTTCTTTTGTCGAAGGTTTGGATGTCGTAGTTGTTGCAGGATTGGAAGTGGGGTTGGCGGCGGCAGTTTTAGCTAGTGCAGCAAACGAAATGCCCTCTTTGCGAAATGACGACAAACTGGGAGACAAGGGAGAGGTAGCACTTTTGGCAACTGGAGGGGGAGCAGCGGCGGATGGCGCGGATGGAGGGACGTTGCCGTTGGTGGCCGGCTTGGAAATCGGTGGAGGTTGCGTCCAGCGAGACCGAGGCTGGGTGGCCGGAGTAGGAGGGGTGTGGGATGACTGGTTGACAGAAGCAGTGGTGGTGGTACTTTCATGGGAAGCGGCGGCATTTGACGGACCTTTGGTGTTGGTTGAAATCGAAGGGACTGCTTTGGTCTCTTGCGCTTCTTTTTTCAGCTTTTCTTCTAATAGGGCCTTCTCTCGTTCAAGCTTCTGTTCAATTTCCAGTTCTTTTTGTAAAGTATCCACCGGCTTGGCAGCTCCAAACGGGTTAGGTTTGGGTGCTTTAGGAGCGGCAGGGGTAGCCGCAGAAGAAGGTAATTTAGGCTCAACCTCAGGCGTCGATTTGCCATCAGTGCTGGTAGTAATTTTTTTGGCGTTCACTGCAGCCAACTCGGCGCGCTCTCGGTCAAGTTTTTCTTGAATTGCCTTTTCTCGCTCGGCAGTGTCGATGGGTTTGGCAGCTCCAAAAGGAGATGGCTTATTACTGACAAGTGATGTAGGGGGCGTAAGAGTTCCATCCGATGAAGTGACAGTTCTGGCCGAAAGTTCGAGCTTGCGTCGAGTAGGTGGGGCAGTAGGAGGGGCTAAGTAAGATGCGGTGTCAGCACTCAAGGATACTATCTTTGTTTGTTTTGAGAGAAAAGGGTCCACAGACCTGTGGGAGAGGCTTCATGTTCGGAAGGGGCGACTGGTTTGGCTTTTCTCCAGTTGCTGACAGTATCAGCCGGTGTTGGCTCAATTTCAGTTGACTTGCGCTCCAGCATCGGTGCTCTCCTGATACTGCCACCGGACGCACTGTGACCGTCGTCGGATCCGACTGGCGTGGCTCGGCTTGGAATGAAATTGCTACCTCTTTGAGGTGGGCCTCGGTCCTTCCTAGGTTCGTCTACGCTAGCCACAAATTTGCTTCCAAAACCCATTCTCTCTCCTCTGTCAGCAGCTTCACTCTCCATTCCAAAACCACCTTCGGCTCGACTATAGCCCCGTCCAGATTGTGTCCGCCGGGTCAGGTTGGTGGCCGATTCTGCAGCCGGTACGAACTTGGAGCCAAATCCCATTCGCTCACCTCGATCGACATCTTCAATACTTGAACGATCTTGATGAGAAGAATGCCGAGTGCGGCGGTTGTCATCAAAAGTAGGCAGCGGTCCCTCTCTTCGCCAGGCACCCCCCGTGCGATCCTCGCGCTCTTTGGCTATTTGAAACGAGTTAGACAGAGACAGATCAGTCCCAAACTGGCGGCGATGGCCACAAAGAGATGGAGTACGAACGGGGTTCAGCAACACTGATTCGAACCGGTCTACCGCCAAGCTCACGGCCTGATTTGTCTGTAGCTGCCACAAGCGCATCCCTGTCGTCAAACTATGTTGATAGAGGGGAAATGAGGTCAGAGCCGTACTGAATGAACCAGAGAGCTGTGAAGCTTACTTCGACATAACCATAACCTTTGGGTTTACCAGTCGCACCATCTGTGATCAGCCGGATCGAAATGATCTGTTGAGATAATAGTAGATACCACTCGTCAGATTTCCTCTGACATCTTGTGACTCGTTACCACTGACTAACTGACGTGAGAGGCTCCAAAGAATTCTTCTAGTTCCGTACTTCCGACTTCCCAACTGAGATTTCCAACAAAGGCATTGTAGGGTGGCTTGTCGGGTACGGGGACCTCGACTCGCGTGGGCCTCTCCATGCCGTCTCGATCACCTCCTCTGCGATTGTAGTCTCGATCCGGGTATCGGTTACCATCCCCACGGCTGAGATGTGAGCCGCCGAGTCCAGAATTCGGGGGTTCGTTGGGATCCCTTGGTGCGGCTAAGCGGAAGAGAAATCAGGTTCAAGCCCACAAAAACAGGATTAATGACATGGCTGAAAAAAAAAAAAAACTTTCAGGTCACTCACGAGCGGTAGGAAGTTCATCCATCTCGTCAGCCCATGACCGACCGGTAGAGGTATCGGCCAAGAAGTCGGTCAGGAGGACTTTTTGTCCCTTTTTATTTTTAGGAGCCATGATGGTAGTTGGTTAATGAGGATGGAAGTGAGCTGAGGGAGAAGTTTGAGAATTAGTTGGTGATGGAATGAGGGGATGAGGGAGATGATCGAAGTGAAGAAGATGATTGCGAGAAGTGCTGGTTGAGTGGAGGACTGTGTTGGAGAGGGGGTAGGAGGACGGCAGAAGGCGGATGGTGATATGTAGGGGGAAAGGGGATCGATGTATGCGTCGACTTCCCTTTCGAAGATGGTTGGTCTGACTTGTACAAAAAGGGTCTTTAATTGTTTGTAGAGGAGTAGCGGGCACTCGGAAGTGCAGTCAACAGCTCTTTGTTGTAGAGTGGTTGGGTGTCTTGTGGGGTGGGTGGGGGTGGAGGGAGTGGAACGGTCAACAGGGAATAAAAATTCGGTGCAGTGTACAGAATCCTTCGCCCACCTGAACGGAGCGAAAAAAAATTGGATAGGGTAGGACAGGAGGAGAGTGACGAGCGGACTAAAATTATGATACCTGTAGTCGATGCGAAAAAACTGTTTGTATGTATTCGAGCTGTTTCACATCGTAAATTTGGAAGCATGTACAGAATTACAACTGGTGTACTGTAAACCGGCACGTGAAGCACCAGATTACAATGTGACATGATCAGAAAGACAGAAGAAAAAAAACTCGATATCCATGACTCATTCACACTCTTGAAATACCTCTAATCGTGCACAGAACGAGATGTGTGTGATCGAAGATGTCCTTGTTGTAGGAGGGATGTCGTCAAAGCTGAACTGCATTAACACGGGCAAAGATGACATGAAGCAATCGGCAGGCAACTGGGGGGACTATCAGTGCCACAATGACCAAAAACCACTTCCGGGATCACCGGAGCATGCCACTGACCGGACAAAGGTTTATCAATATCAACCCAAAAAATGTAGAGTACAGGGCTGTCCAGTCATCCAGAAATCTCTGTTGGGTATATAGGCTTTGCAGCAAACTTGACTAAACAGAGACCATCAAATTAACAAGCTGCTACAAATAGTGTGTCCCATTCGAATTGTACAGGGTTGTATATCAGGGGATTACAAAAGAGTTGAAGTCATCAGGAGAGAAACCAATATGTGGCACGATGATCCCCCTGATCGAATGCAACAACTATCACAAAATGTGGCAGAATGGTTGCTGACTCATTTTGGGTTTCTTTCTTTGTAGTTGCTTGAATCTTTGATTTCGTGAGCAATATTTCCCATCCCCCAGCACTGATCTGAATTCCTTGAGATCACGCAACCATTACATTTGGGCCACAAAATCTCAACACCTGGAAAACTCTTGCCTTTTGAACGCGTAGGAAGGATCAGGAAATTGTATCATTTAACTACCAAGAATCACGTTCAAGTAGAGAAGATACAAACATTCCAAGCCGTAGTACATACACAGAATTGATTTAGAAGCAGAAAACAACAAAACGATCACCAAGGAAATCTAAGCGCAAATTCGAATAGCACGATGAGTGCCTTTTTTTTTTTTGAAACCGTCTTGAGAAAAGTGATCACTACTGCCGACAAGATTCGATAACTGAATTGTCCTCTAGAATAGTCATAGCTTGTTGAAAGATCAAGTCGGGGGTGGTCTACACCACTCACCCATGAGTTTGAAAAGAAGGTAGATTGATACTGGTTCTACCCAAGTTCGATAGACATGGCTTGGAATTATTGTAGCAATCAAGCACCCTAAAGTTGATAAACCTTACTTTTTCTTGGCTGGTGCCGCAGTCTTTTTCTTGGATTTAGCCGGACGCCCAGCCGCTTTGCGGCGCTTGCGTCCCGGGGCCGGATCTGGCTTGGTTGAAGTAGAAGGTTCTGGCTTGATAGGATCCTCAAAGTCAGACAGATCATCGAACAGGCCCTCAGGAATGTTATCCTTGAGGTCAGCGATAAACTCGTTGGATATCGCCTTCAATCTATCCAAAGATCTATTCCCGGTTGCCGGATTGCTCGGAGGACAGCTCGAAGAAGGCGGCTGTTCAGTCTTCACTACAATCGGTTCTTGGCTAGAAATTTGTGACTTGGGTGGGACGAAAGGCTTGTGTAAGGTTGACACTTTCACGGGCTGGGTTGGCTGTGATAATGTCCTGAGTGGCTTGCTAGAAAACTTCCCAGTGCTCCCATTGATCAGTGGCTTAGAGGTGTTGCCACTTCCTTGAGCGTTAGGGTCATAATTTGCCGCTGAAGTAAATGTGGGAGGCCCAGACGTTGTTCGAAAAGAGCCACGAAGAGGAACATTGGCAGCTGGTTTGACCCCTGATGATGAAAAGCGACCTATTTGAGTTGGTCCCCGATTCTGTGCCCAACGATTGTAATTTTGTTTGCTTTCCTGCGAGCTACCTGGGTAGCTAAACCTCTTTCCACTCGGATCAGGAATGGTAAAAGTCTTTCTTTCTTTTGATTCACTAAAAACACAAAACGACTCTTAACGATACTGAGATTGAAATTTCGAGTGGAAAAGGGGGGGGGGGTGGTAACTGTCGAAACTTACTACTCTTCAATTCTACTTTTGATAACATCATCCGGTGCTGTCGGGCGTCCGATCACAGCTGATAACTCTTGACGTAGTCTTGAGTCAACTTCCGGGAGCTTTGGAGTGAAGATGCAATCAAGGGGAGAGGCTTTATCGGAGCTCTGTTTGATTAACTTTTTGAGGAAGATGGAAACCTCCTGGGAACGAGTCTCCGCTAAAAAATAGCATTATCACTTTTTTGTTTCGGAAGGAACTTCAAGGACTCGTTAATTGATGAATAATTCTACTTACCTCCTTGCATCCGCTCAACTGAATGTGTAAGATATAGAAGGCCTTGCGCTCGAGTCATAGCTACGAATAATAGACGCCTGCAAAGAGCAATGACAACGCATTAAGTTTACTGGGTTCATAAGTAGAATGTGCGGACAAACGTTACCTCTCTTCCCTGACTTCTTCCGGCTCGCTACAGCGGTAAAATGGGAAGATGCCATCTTCGGCTGTTGATAAGGAAGAGAGTCAATAACAGATCAATAAAAATTCTGATCCAAGGTGAATAGCGTACCGGCAATCACAAAAACTACGGGCCATTCAAGCCCTTTCGACGAGTGACACGTGGTGATAGTCACCCTAGGTTGGTTATTGTCATCCTTAGACTCCTGTGTATCGGTGTCCGTCGACAAGCTCGATTCAACCAGGAATTGTCTCAATGGTGTAATTTCCTCAACAATGTCATCAGGAAGGCTGATGTTTTCTGTGCTAGTAATGTTTAGTAGCAGATCCAAAAAGGTCAGCCTAGACCCAGTGGGCTTAGTCAATCACATAAGGCGCATACTTAAACATTGATTCCAGCCGATCCAAATCTGTATCAGACATGGTGAAAATGGGACGATTAGGCGGTTTGACGGGTGACCTATGAAGTTCTTCGACATGAGAGAGTTGAGATAAGGGTAGCGAATTGGATGTTGCTTGAGATTCTTTGGCAAGGTGAGTTGCAAAAGCCTAAAAGCTAAACATCAGTAGCCGAACATAGAATTAGAAATGTGATACAAACGACATACTTTTAATTCCTGTATATTTTGATCTCGTTGCACTGCATCAGGTCCGTACGTTTTTTGGAGATGATCTGCGTAATTGATTCGCTCCACCAGATTGTCAATAATTTCGGCAACGGGACAGCCCTACAGGAACAACAAGTCAATTATAGCCAATCATCATACTAACATTCAAATATGTAGTTACCCCTTGTGCCATCGCCTGAAGATTGCATATTATAGAGACAAACTTCCTGAAGGTTTCAGTCTGGGCAGGCTGTATACCGGCGAAACGCTTACCTCGCACGGCTCGAACTAGGACTTCCATCTGGCTGATTTTGTGAGTTGCGGAGGCAGCCTTGACAGCGTTAATGGCGGCCAGACCTGAAAAGCCAAACGAAGTAAGTTACAGCAATCTCACAAACGTTTGATGATGAAAAACTAACCAAGCTTTCGTCGAGGAGTGTTGATGACCCGCTCAAAGGCTGGGGAAAAGGTTGGGTTATCAGCAAGTTGGAGGTAGGCAAGGATGTCTCTGACCTATATGTGTCGAAACAGTTCAGCTGTTGGTTGGTTAACCTACGGCGTGTGTTTGAGTTGTGACTTACTTCGACGCGCTCAAAAAACTTTTGAGCACCAATCATACGGACTGGGATCCTAGCAGTTTTCAAGGCAGTTTCTAAATTACGACTCAGTGCATTATAGCGCATCAAGATACAGAAATCATTATAGTCCAGTTGGCCGCCAGTGTGTGCGACCAAACGATGTATTTCTTGTGCAATAAAGGCAGCTTCTTCGATTGGGTTGGAAAACGGTCGCACCATCGGTGAACTAACCCGCGGGTGGCTGGTGTACAGATTCTTATCGATTCGCTCGTTGTCTGTGTATGTTCAGATTTTAGCATGGTTCCTATTGGCGGACTTGATAGAAGTATTTATACCTTGTTGAACAACAGCAAGAGATGCTTTGAGGATGGATGAGCTGGAGCGGTAGTTCTCTTCCAGTAGGGCAACCTGAGTACCAGGGAAGTCTGTGTTAGTATGGGTAAGAAAAAGAAAGTCAGGTTGGCTTGGATCAAATAAGAGGTTGGGCGAATCGAACAAGATCGGACCTTTGGTCATCTTCTCTAGATTGATAGCTTGTGCATAGCGGAAGCCATAAATTCCCTGATCAGGATCGCCCACAACCGTGACAGCACCACGGTGCGCAAGGAGTCTCATTATCTCGTATTGGACGGTATTTGTGTCTTGAAACTCGTCGATCAATACGTGTTGGATGTGAGCAATGATGGTGGGATGAGACCGGAATAACTTTTCACTGTGATTCAAGTAACAAGAAAGAAAAAAAAAGTCAACAACCGGCAATTTGGAGTGAAGAAAGTTTTTCAGGTGAATTTACCCAAGCAACAATAAGTCATCAAAATCCAGACAGTTATCCGCATGGAGCAGGTCTGTATAAGACCTGCTTTAGAAAAAGGGCCTGGTAAGATACATCAGGAATCTTGCTGCAGTTAGTATGCCTACTGACCGATATAATGCAGCCATAAGTTTTTGGTAGGAAGTTTCGGCCTGCCGAAGCATTTCTTCGGGTGAGTAGCCTTGGGATTTTGCTTTCGAGATCGCTTCCACAACGGTTTTGGGCTTGATGGATTGATCTTGGACTTGCTCGGAGAATTGAGGGTCGTTGAGAGCACTTTTTCCGTACTGCAGCTGTTGATCACGGTCGCAGATCACCCAGTTCGGTCTCAATCCAATCTTGCTTCCATGTTTTCGCAGGACTGTAATTATGCAACCATAGTAAATGTAAATTAGGAGGTCCTGCAGGGGAATGAATTTTGAGAGCAGAAATCAACACCTACAGGTCACGCACATCCCATGGAAAGTGCCCAAGATCACTTCACTGGCTAGTGAGCCACCGATCAGTGCTGCCAGACGGTGCTGCATCTCTTTGGCCGACTGTTGTGGGGTTAACGTCAATACAGAGAAATTTGAGAAATTGATCTGATCGAGACACGGCCAGATAATGGGACCCAGTTTTGTACCTTGTTGGTGAACGTCACAGCGACCAATGAGGGAGGAGAGATCCCGCATTTCCTCAACAGGTACGCAATTCTATAAGTTAATACACGAGTCTTGCCTATGATTTATAAAACATGCCAATTTGAGAGATTCAGTTCGAGCAAAACCGCAGAAGAAAGAGTGAAACACATGAGGGGCTTACCGCTTCCCGGTCCAGCTAGGATCTGGAGACTACCATCAGCTGGCCGCTGAACCGCTTTGAGCTGATTCTGGTTCAAGGAATTCAACCATTGAGGTTCTGCAGCATCAGTCATTGCAAGGCGCGAGTCGTTGAACGCGGTGCCCAAAAAATCAGGGGAGTACAGAGAGATGAATTAAGGCGTCTAGTGCTGGAGATGGCGTCAGTCTTACTTGATGGAGAGGTAGTTCTCAGAACTGGAGAGAGAGATGGACTTGAGGAGGCTGGTGTGCTGCTCTGGGTACTGCAGCTTCCTTTTCTTGAGGCTGAGATAGGGCAAGGCAGCTTGTGGTATCATCTGTGGCTGTGACAGCACTCGAACACCCCCCGTGACACTCACCACACTTGTAAGTGCTTAGTGCACTGCACCACTCCAGCAACCCAAACAACGCACCCTCTACATAACCAACCTCATTCGAACAACATCATCAAGCACCGCCAAGTCCTGAATATTACGCTACCGAACAACCCTTCGATATCATGGGTGGATGGTTGATATTCATCGTTCTCATCCTCGCCGTCGGTCTCTCGTTCCTGGGATGGGTGTCAGCTCCCAAAGGAGATGACCAAATGTACGTGTTATTCTGATCCATTCCAGTAGTACCCAGTTGTTGAATATTGACTGTTTCTGTCATTCTTATTGCTTTGGTGCTCTAGTGTGATCCGAACAGCCGTCATCGCTACAATCACGTGTTGTTATCTCATGTGGGCTATCGTTTACCTGGCCCAATTACACCCCCTGATTCGTTAGTATCTCCTTAATTCTTGGGGCACTGTTCTTGATTTCCCAGCTCAATATTGATTTGCTGTTTCTTTTCTCTTGACGCAGAACCTAAACGAGGCGATCTAAGACCCGAACATTGATGCCGCTCCGCAAATCAAGAAACCTGGTTCCATCATCTCGGCGGCCAACTTCCACTCAAGCTCTTCAAGCATCACTTCTTGTCACTTCGATCTGGCCGATTTCAAGGAATTATGACTTCAAACTAGACCGATTTCATAACGGATCCAGTCGGCAAGAAACAATCCCTAAAACCTTTCACATTTAATTTTAATCCTCCAAAAGCCCCTCGCAGATGTGTTGCTACAAGATGGTAAGCCGGACAAGTTCCGCCAAATGATGAAGTGTTTATTATTACCTTGTAAAGATAGAGAGAAAAACGAGGAAAGAGTATCTTCGTCAAATTTTCAAACCCTCGATCGCAATCTTGCAGAGTCTCGCCAAATCGTTCATCTCTTTTTGAAATAACAACCTAAGCCTTACTTCTATCTGAAGCCACAGTACGTAGGATCCATAAGCAAGCTCACTCGAGCTAGATGAATGAGCTAAAAAAAAGAGCCTCTTATCAAGATCTTGATCGTGCTTATGATGCGATCCAGTTTATTAATGTCTGGGGTGAAATTTGCTTTCCAAAACAAATTGTCCATTTTTTTTTATTTCATTAGCCGCGCAGTTGTCCTTATGTGTACTTCGACTTCATCTGAAAAGTCACCATCGTTCTTCCGCCCCTTCCACAGAAACAGGTGCACATGATCGTGGCTGGTAAAAATAGACATAAGGTTTCTTGTAAGAAAGATTGAATAACCAATACCTCACTCACCTCTCTGTACCCCTATATAATTCGAGCCAGAGTTCTCGATTTTTGATTTTCACTTTGGTTTGACCATGATCAAAGGATACATAGATCTCATCTTGTTCCCATATTCTTTCAAATGTTGGGTGTCATCTTAGTCTTCACTACCATCGTCAGATTCCTTTGGAAAGAAAATGATTATCTTCAGATGCCACAATCTAGAGATATACATCACCTTTAGTCGACTGTGAGGCAGCTTGAATCCACTCAAATCTTAACAACTCAGCAGTCACGGATCGACTGGACAACCTTGGATCATACAAGCGGATTGAGCAAACTACGTGCTCTTTCGGAAAAATCCACCAGTGTGGAGAAACTTGTCGAGAAACTAAACTTTTATGGCAGACTTTCAGAGACTATTAGGAGGGACATCACTGATCTCAAATGATGCGCATACACCCGCATGCCAATACATAATCCTACATACAAACTTGGATCTTCTCAGGTGAGGCGATTCCATGAGACGGTTCGATTGCCGATTTGGCCGTTCAACTAATATGTAGGGTCTGGAAGTGGGGAACCAAAATGATGCCCCAATCCCTCCTCGCTACATATTTATTTGACCACAAGAAATTGCTTATCATTGCAACTTGAACTCATTTCTGCAATGCTATCCAACCTATGGGAACGATGTTGTGCAATGTGGTTTGAAAGTAGTTTTCCTCTCAAAAAAAATACTACCCATCAAATGGCTGTCTGTCTGTGGAGGTGAAGCTAATCCAACCTGGACTGTTGTCGTTATGTGGACACACAACAGGCTGCCGACCTTCCGACGCTGCCTACCGCTTTGGACAACGAGAGCTGCGTGGAGAAAGGACGTTGCCCCATCATGCCAACAAAGTCTTCACATCAACCTCGCCACATCTATTATGAAGTGCATGGAGATTTGAAAGCATCCCAGAAAATCGTCCTCGGTACGTCCTTCACTCAATCATTCCTGGCTTTCTTTTTCGGCCCTAAACCAGCCGTCGACTTGGGGATGGAAATATTATTGATCGTGACTCTTTCCAAATGACTGTTTCTCAATTAGTCATGGGTATGTTTTCACTTTCTTGAGAAGCAAGGATGACAAGTTGATGTGTTGAATTTCTTATGTGATTTGTAGGTATGAACTTTACATGCTCTGCATGGGCTTCCCAAGTGCAATATTTCAGCAAGAAAAAGGATCATGTCGTGCTGGTATTTGACAATCGGGGCACAGGAAATAGCAAGTTGAGTTGTTGTTTGTTATTCCTTTCTTGTCAACAAGATCGCTTTACTGAGTTCCTCCTAATATCGTTTTACAACCATATCTTCCTCAGCGCTGGGGCTATCGAAGCGTACAGGACCTCAGATATGGCCCAGGACACAGTCACCCTGCTGAATTGGCTGGGTTGGAACCAAGACCGCTCACTTCATCTATTCGGCATGTCTCTCGGCGGGATGATAGCACAAGAACTGGTGAGGGAATTCTCTAGAGGCTTGGGGGATCGCCAGTGCATGCAGTTTTTATCACATTACACCCTGTTATTTTCCGCCCAACGTAGTGTCTGATTGTCCCAAAGAGATTCAAATCCGCGACTTTCATCAGCACCAGATGCGGAAGTGAGCTTGATTGGCCATCGGTTAGTGCATCATGATCAAACTAATGAGATTTGATCTTCATTCAAATCCTGACTGAACGTTTGTCTGTTATTATTCTCTTTGGAAATCTCGAATCTCTTCAGAAAGGCGCTTGGGAGGTTTTAGTGAAGACATCAGCGAAGAAGGCGAACGGAGACGAGGGGTTGGATCTGTATCTCAACGTTTTGTTTCCAAAGGAATATATGGAAACTGTAGTCGAGCAAGACACGATGCTCAAGAGCGACTTGCGCGAAAAACTTCGAAACTGTCACCGTTTGCCCCGAGAGCAAGCACCGATTCCATTCATGGGACACTTTTATGCTGCCACCATGCATCACTGCCCTCACCCGAAATTGCACAGGATCGCGGCGGATCTCAAGCCCGCCAAAATGCTGATATTGACTGGCGGTAGCGATGAGCTTATTCCTACAAAGAGATCCCTCGAATTGCACAAGAACTTACCAGGCTCAGAATTAGTCGTCCTTGAAAATGCGGGTCACGCCTTGATCTTCCAATTATCCGAAGAGGTCAATACGATTATGGAAAGAGCTATTGTTGAAGGCAATCAGGCTTTTAAACTTGTACCGTAGTTGACTTATTTGGATCAATCTGATGGATCCCATGGCTTATCAACCCATTGTAACACACCGTAGAAAGAATCTTCTAATGGACAAGATCTACATAACAGCTGAATTTTGCGCCGATTCTGAGACAATCCAATTTTGGGCATACCAACTATTTTGAATTCGACAAACTTAGATTTCTCCACCATTTTCATTTTCCAATGTTTCAACCACATGGAGTAACTTTTCATCCAATCTTTTGTAGCGACCTCATTGGCCAAATCCTTGGCATGAACATGAAGGAATCAGATTGCCAAAACTGGAATTAGTCAATGAGAATTTTGCTTTCCAATGTGTATCTTTTCGAGTTGACTTGCTCGAGACCACAGTCTTGGGATGATGGAGGTGCAAAAACCCCACCAGAGCTCATTCCAGTCAAAAAAGCGGCTTGGAAGATAATAATTCGCGGTTTTGATGGCATCGGACCCGAAAGATATTGCCAATATGTCGCTTGATCATCTTTCTCTAGACCAATAATATTGGTCCAGAGATTCGAACATTCGGAGCTCATCATCATTAAATTGACCTAGTCTTGCTCACGGATTGGATTCTGCGCTGAAATGAATTCAATTTAGTCGAACTGAAAAAAATATATATATTTCTCCCTCGCACGTTCCTAGGAAAAGGGTGAGTTCTGGTGTTGATGTTGATAGGCGCAATTGGTCGAGATTTTTCATTCCTTTTCCTGTTTGGAAACGATTCATAACAGTTTGTCTTCAGGAACTGCGATCGATGGAAATAATCAAGTGTCGGTACTTTAACTCATGGCTAGTCTGGATCTGAATGTTTGTTCATATGTGTTCAAATAAAAGCTGGGAGGTGATGATCGCCCCATTGCGTTCATTTAAGCCGGGATCTTTACCGAGAAGGGCTATTTTTGGCAGGGCAATCCTTCCTCCTGATTTACAAATATAAACTGAGTGGGGCCTCGGGGCTACACTTGTCGGAGTCTACGTATCCATACTGCATGTGTACTCGTCGTCCCGGTGATGGCGGCTACGACACTTGTGCTCATGAGTGTTTTTGTTTATGATTTCGCAGAAGAATCTTTATTTACAGTAACACTAACAGGGGAACCCCGTTAGTAACTTCCCTCCTGATCAAATGAGCTATTTGTCTCCTGATAATTATTCTTTTATGATTTGAATGGGGCACACCCTCATTTGCGGACTCGTCACGGCGTTTTAACTCACCTCCTATAAATGAGCTAGAATACTGCCAAGATGGGTTTGATAAGAGTGTGTCCAGTTTGTTGCTTAGATTCTTTCAGACTCTCGCTGTTTTTCATCGGTCTTTTTTTGTATTATCAATCATCATCGAACATTTATTGATATTAGAGAGAGCACCCCGATTTTAGCATTCATCGGGCGCCAAAGCAGCGTGGCCGAACCTTGAGGTCCTGTGGTCCGAGCAGCAAAAGAAGCAACTTGATCTTTACTAGAATAAATAGACTCTTCACTTGATCGCCAACTATTGGACTCTATAATATAACTCATTGATGTGCAAGGCCTTGCTGTGGTTCTTACACGCGATACTACTCAAGTCTCCATCAGATAGCTGAAATTCACTACGCGATGTTGTCCAGCTACTGGAAGCAATTCACGATGTGGATGGAAAGTATCATATTTGAATCTATTATTTCCTTACATTTTCGTGATGAGAACTTTGAAACAGCTCTGAGCTTGCTAATAAGAAATCACGTGTCTTCACTCCAACAGTCTCCAGACCTTCCTACGCTTCCTACCTCTTTGAATAGTGAAACTTGCGCGAAAAAGGGGCTTTGCCCCATCGCAGTCGATTATTCATCCAGACCTCGCCAAATATATTACGAGGTTCATGGAGATTTGAAGGCTTCTCAAAAACTTGTTCTCAGTATGTCTTTCTTCATCCGCCCCACAAAATTCTCCGCTGGAAGACATCAATTGAAATTTTATTGGAAAAAACGATCTGATCGAATTTGTGACTTGACTTTTGAAGTCATGGGTAGGCTTTCACTCTCAATGTGACGGAGGAACTTTTTAGACCAATGATTTCCTTCATTTTGGATTGTTAGGCATCAACTTTTCGTGCTCGGCGTGGGCAGCCCAGGTCGAACATTTCAGCCGCAAAAAAGATCATGCTGTGCTTGTTTTTGACAACCGAGGCACGGGAAACAGCGAGTTAAGTCTCTCCGGGGAAAAATCTCATATTTTCTGTAATGCTTCGTCGACTGATTTTGAATTTCTCTGAACGTCTTCCAACATATCCACATTATCAGTGCCGGAGCTATTGAACCGTACAAAACTTCAGATATGGCCCAGGATACGATGACTCTCCTGAAATGGTTGGGATGGGAGCAAGATCGCTCCATTCATTTATTTGGCGTCTCTCTTGGCGGAATGATAGCACAGGAATTGGTGAGTCTTCGAGTCTACAAGCTTTGGGAACCGTTTGCATAGCTTATTTTTTCTAGTCTACTCACACCCATTGTTTATATGTTTCATCATTTTTGGTATTAGTGTTTAATCATTCCCGAGAGGTTCAAATCTGTCAGTTTTATAAGCACAAGATGCGGAAGTGAATTGGACTGCCCATCGGTTGGTGGTTCACGATTTGATAAGCTCTATGAGAGTTCGGATGCCTAACTCTACACAAGCGCGCATTCCTTTTTGATTGTTTGACCCATAAGACAAGGAGCTTCAGTGCAGTATTCCAGACCTCTTCCAGGGTGGCGACTGGAGACCAAGCTCTGGATTTATATCTCGAATTATTATTTCCGGATGGACACTTCGAACTGGAGACAGAAGAGGGCAAAAGATATAAGAGTAACCTACGCGAAAAACTCCGAAATTGTCACCATCTACCACGGGAGCAACCTTATCTTGCGTTTGGGGGACACTTCTATGCAGCCATGATGCATCATTGCTCTTATGGAAAATTAGAAAAGATCGCGACTGATCTTCATCCAGCCAAGATACTCGTCATAACAGGCGATAGCGATGAGCTTGTTTTACCAAAGAGGTCACCCGAGCTTCATGAACACCTACCTGGATCTGAATTGATCGTGGTCAGAAATGCGGGCCATGCCTTACCTTATCAAATCTCTGATGAATTCAATGCAATAATGGATAGGGTAATCAAAGAGGGAAACTTGGCTTTTTCCAAGCACTGATTTGATTGGCCCAGGGGGTGAGTTTCTTCCGGAACGTTACAAAGTGAAGTTTTTGAATCGAGTTTGATCCCAGTCATTGACACTTTTCTGGCCCCAACTTTTCTCTTTTTATTGTTACTAATTAGTTACAACAGTCAATAGGTTCATGACTTGGTTCAAAATATTGCTACGGGGATTTAGTGTGCCAAGTTTTCTTTCTCTGCGCTAGTTATAATTGTTTGAACTGTTGTGGTAATATATAGACTTCCTTCCAGGCTAGGTATCATTCCTCTTTGGTGAACAAATCTCTGCCCTGATATTCAATGCATAATAATGAAAGGAGGAAACATCCATTCATAGTTTAAAATTAAAGACCAACTAATACCTGATCCAAAACTGTTACAATCACAGTATATTTCTTTCAAAAATTTGGCATTTTCACATATCTTCAAGGTATGACCAACAAAGTGGTACTGGAAATCTTCGTGCAAAATGAAGAAATTGTGCATGATTTACAAATTAGTGAAAATCAATCTGATCTTTTTCCCTTGATCAAACTCGTGAGAGGACCATGTAGAGCTAGAGATCACAGCCTCAGGGTTTGAAATTGATGCTTAACTCACGTTGAGCTCGCCGTTCCTCGCCGGCCTCGACCTGTTCCTATCTGACCGTTTAATATTCAGTAATTTCTGTTTTCTTTTTCCTTTCATTAACGTGCAATTGAGCTCTTGGGTCAACTCAAATCTTCATACAGGAAAATGAAGAGCTTCATGTCGCGTATGTGCCAACCTCCTCGCTGAAAACCTATGTAGCCACGGCAGGCCGCTTGCCCCTCTGACATGCCGGGACCTTTGTCTTACCGAATTCGCCGTTGGGCCTACAGCTTTTACGGTGAAGTTTGTCTGTATACATAGAGCTTCATTTCGCGTATGGGGAAACCTCTTCGCTGAAAGCCTAGCTGTGAAGGCCCTTTACCCCTTTGGCATGCCGGGGTACTTGTCGCGCCGCGTTCACCGCTGGGCCTACAGCTTTGGCGGTAAGTTTGGCCTAGATACTCTCACAGACGAGGAACAAATCCATCGTGAAATTTCCATCCTCCTTGATGTATGCGAGGGTGCGTGGTGTTGCGGCGAGGACCCGAAGGGACGGTTAAACCAGAACCCACTTCATCCAAATACGATTGTTCTCCTTATAAACAATGGCTGTCTACGGAGAGACTTTTTTCCACATAGATCTCCAGCCCAACCTACTATCATACACGCATACCGCAAAAATACCTATCTATCACTTTTGCTAGCCGTTGATATCATCACACAATATGCAAATGCACTTGAGGAATCAAAAGATTGGATTCTTGATTATTTTAATCTTGAAAGAAAGCAAATCCTACCCACCAAGTGGAGAGGAAATTGTACCATGTAGTTTAATTTCTCCCATGGAAAGAACTGGGAGAGCATCTGCACATTCTGGAACCAATGCTGGTGATTTATCTTGAATAATTTTCACATCTTTACACTCATCAGAAGTTGAAAGACTGATTCTATGCCATCTTCCTCCAGATAAATCTTCCACTCTTGGAGCTACTGGGGATGGAATTGGAACTTCAGGAATCATGAAAGTGAATCTTGGCACTGAAATTCAAGAGGAAGAACCAATAACACATGAATTTGGATGTAGAACATGTCCTGGTTCACAGATTAAAATCATGCATCCTGGTGCAACCAAGACAAGAGGGAGACTTGGAAGCCTTTTGGAAACAGAAACATTGAAAGATTATTTGGAGAATTTCCTCTACATTTGCAGCAATTCATTTTCCCTGAAAGACACTAGTAAGTTCACACTTGACCTTTTAGGAAAGGCCAGATTCTGCAGAACTCATTTTTAATTTTATTGAATTTGTGTTCCTTGTTTCAATCCTTGTTAAATGAAACCTGTCAATTTGATATCAAATCAATCAAAAAAAAATGGAAAGATGATCCACAATTTTTAAAACATACACAGAAGATCTTGGGGTGGTTTATACAGAATGCTCAAGATTCCAATAAATATAAACAACTGCAAGAAAAACTGGGAAAAAGTTTCCAAGAAGGATGTACCAATTTGAATGGATACTTGCAACTAATTTCACTCATGGAGAGCTCTGTTTTACATGGGTAGAATTATGTGCATATTCCTGAAGAATTAAGCCCATCCTTGAAGAGTATTGTGAAAAGACTCAAAGAATCACTTGAAAAATCTTCAACAGAATCCAAAGTAACAGATTCACAAAAGGTTCAACAATTCTTAACTCAAGAACTCAATCTTTTATTGCACAATATTGGTGAATTGAAAATGGAAAATAAATATGATCTTTCAGATATTTCAACCCAAGAAGTTTTGGAGCTCCAAGGTATATTGTTCCAAACAATTTATTACATCTACAGAAGGAACTTGATAAGTCAGCAAGAATACAGGAATTTTTTTGGGACTGGAAATAACATAGAGGTTGCTGCAATCAACATGATTACAAACTACAACATAAAATATATACCACCTGGAGTCATTTTGGAGGATCACTACGTAATGACCAGAGACATTGCTGAAAATATTGGCTTGACCCATTGGAGGAGTATGAAAGGTGAGATAAAATAATTCTGAATGATATTCTGATGAAAGATATGTATTGAAATAGTTCAATTTTTTATGCTTTATAAAAAAAATTTATAGATCTTGATGACTTTCTGAAAAGGAAATTTGAATATTTAGCAAATGAGGCACTTTTCAAGTATAACTACAACCATTTGGTTGACATGAGTACAATATTCAATGGTGGTAATTTATTTGATGGATTAGAAAACTATTTAAAATCAAAAGAAGCCATATTGATTGAGAATAATCATATTGCTTGGGATGGCTTCCTTGGTCTTGGATCAAAGTATGGCATTCCATCAAAAACTGGAAAACGAATTAAAGAGAAAATAGCCAAGAAAGAAATGAATAAACTACAAGGACCAGGACAAGGGAACAAAGGTGAAATTTAAATGACAGAGATGAATGAAAACCAAAAAGATTTACAATTACAGCAACCTGAAAAAAACAAGAAGTACATAATAAATAAGCAATTTGATGAAATCATGAATGAGCTATTGAAAAACCTTTTTGATCAAAATGCTTCAATGAAACTTAGGATCTTGTCATCTGAAGTCTTGATTTTTGTTTGGAAGAACTATGGAATAGAAATTTTGTATCTTTTCAAAAATACCAGAAAACTCAAGAAGAAGTTGGAATCATATGATTTGGCAATTCATACTTTGGAAGAATTAAACATTGTTAGGAGGTCAATCAAGTGGAACTATGAAGGAAAACTTCCCAATGGTTTAGTTTATGCTCACATGCAACTGCACTCTGAAAGTCTTGATGATGCACAACTCATGAATTTTTACAGAATTGTCAATTCTAAGTTCTACAAAGTTCATCAAAAACTTTATACTCTTTCAAATTTTTCAATGGATCATTATGAGCTTCTAAAACTGGTAAAGAAATCATACTCTGAAGTCATTCATCAGATGAGAAGGCATAACACTATTCTTGTTGATTCTTTGGAAAGAGCTAGCTTTGTTAAAGCATCTTGATTTCTTCATATCGCTGCAAAATTTCCTTTGGAGGATGTCTACACATATGGATAGATAACTCAGATGATTTCTCTTAAATTCATTTGATTTTGATTTTGTGGAATCTTGATTTCTTTATAGATTCTGATCAACACATGACACAATCAATGATTCAATTTTTTATCTTTCTCCCTTTAATCTCACATGCATATATTTCATTCTTAATTCTGATCACCTTTTCTTGTTTGAATCATCAATCCATGAACTAAAAACATCACACAATCCAAAATTTAAAAAAACTTAAAAAGGGTCTTAGTTAAACAACTCCCAGAAATTGGAATTCCGACTCCCAAATTTCAGGGATGTTGAGAGGACTGTCTGAGATGTCCAACCCCAAAATTGGGAGTTGGACCTCCAAAACCTTCAAAATGTTTGGGAGTCAATCCCTTAATAAAAAAAAAACTCTTGCCTGCCAAGGGGAACCCCTCTTGGCCATTGAGAGCATACACTCTCAGTGGCCAAGGGGGATTCCTCTTGGTGTTGAAATTACATGTGATCCTCCCATGACAGTTGTCCGCATCAACACAGCCAACTGTATTCATCCCTCAACAGTATGTTCATCCAATCTCCTCTTCACTCTCACTCTCTCACAATGTTCCACTTCATTCATCCAAACTATCAACTTTATTGAGCTCTCCCACATACCATGGACACCATCAAGCTCTCCCTCAACATTGATAGAATATTCTCTCATCAACTTTGTGGAGCTTCTATGATATTGTATCACATAGTTTCATTCAATTTGGTGAGACAATATAGACCACAATCTCTCAACTCATTGATTGATCTGCATAACCTCCCTATCATCTTGTCTTCTTAGTCCTTGTACTCATCTTTTCTTTATCACTTCCTCAGTTGTTCTTGACATTCAATCTGTTCTTTTGCGGCAAATTGATCTTCTATTCTCTTTTATCTCTTTCTTCCTCTTCTTCAAAAAGCTTATGTTACAATTTGCTTCAAGTCTGGCTTTGTTTCCAAGCAATTTACTCAGAGTTTTACACTTGGCCACTGAGAGTGTATGCTCTCAATGGCAGAGGGAGATTCCTGATAGGAATCCCCCTGGGATTTCCAGCACCAACTGTCAACCCCCCTGGGGTTTTCAGAGGATTGGCTCCCAAAAAAACCCCGGGGAGTTTTTATTTTTTATTTTTATTTATTTTTATTAGGGGATTGACCCCCAAACCTTTTGAAGATTTTGGAGGTCCAACTCCCAATTTTGGGGTTGGACGTCCTGAGGACCGCCCGCACAATTTTTGGGAGCCGTTTAACTAAGATCCAAAAGAACAGGATGGAAATAAATCCATTAACCCTTTAAATGGAAGTTGAATCCCAATGTTTGATTTGTGGAATTGTTTTTTTGGAAAATAGAAATCTGCATTCATCAGATGATTGGATTTTGAGAACAGATATGTAGCACAGATTTTCAATTGAATCATTACTTTGGAACACAGCAATAACATCTGTGAATCCAATCTCTTTTGGGTTCAATCGAATAAGATTACACTGGTGCATGGATGAAAAATACATGTTTGACTGGCTGGATTGATGTCTGAGGTGGGCTAGCTGAGACTGGCTTGGGGTATCTTGGCAAGGCCTTAAATGGAGAACTGAGCTGCAGGTAAGATATAACATTTTGAAGAGAATCACATATGAGATTTTAATCAAGGATGGAGAAATAAGAAATGGTTTAGATTTAATTTTCCAGCTTGATCATGGCATTGGCAAAGAAGGAACTGTCCTGGAACTGACACTGCATTGGCAAAAAAATTGGGGTGTGCATATTGAATATATGCAATATGGCTTATCAGCCATCCACTTGGGCCATTTCTTTTGCGCCGGTCAGGTGAGTTTGCTGTGCAGCCAAGGAAAGATGGAGTTCTACAACCAAGCGGCCCGGGCAATCGACCGAGTCAACAACAAACATGGGAGCCTGAAATCGATTGTTTTCAACCTTGCAGCCAACAGCAATACCAAAAACAAGCAGCCGCAAGCCGGGTCCTCAGCAAGCTCGATCAAGGCAAGACAGGTCAGCGACGGTAAAAGACTCTTGAGAGTGGTGGCCGAAACATTACGATGTAGGTGTTTTTCTTTGCCTTCAAAATACCTCTAGTCAGTTAAACCTCCGAATGCTGATTTGAATGGTAGATCGTCAGGTGATCGAATCAATCCTATCAGTCGTCGATGTCCTGCGTTTGGAGTCCAAGGTCTTCGGCTCGTCTTCCAAGTCCTCGAAGGGAACTAGTTCGAAACAAAACGAACGATGGCAACACCCATCCGCGCATAGCCTAGTCCTCATCCTTATCCATGATCATCTTTTCTCCTCTCGCGGAATCGCACTTTCGAAAATCCACAAGATCCGCGCGGCCATCGAGCGTCATTCATCTGCACTCAAGGCCGAACTCTCGCGTCTGATGGTCCGACAGGCCGTTTCTCGGGTTTCTGACTTGGCCGATTCTTTCCAAAGGGGGACGGATTCGGTGGACGAAGATTCGGGTGGGACGAACTTGAATTCTCCTCGTTGGATGAGAGTTAATACGATCAAGTGGAGCGTTGATCAGGCAAAGGGATGGTTCATCGACGCCGGCTGGACTCAAGTCTCCTCTCTGGAAGCCCTGCCAAATCAGACGAGTGACAGTCCTGATCAGCTCCTTGTTTTTGCTGAGGACGAGCATGTGGCGGGTCTACTAGCACTTCCCTCGGCGGTAGTCCTCGCGAAACTAGCACCCTACGTGGACGGTCGACTGATCGCCCAAGATAAAGCTTCATGCATGCCTGCGCAATTACTCCTAGGTGATCATCCTCACAACCCTCCAATCGAAGTCATCGATGCCACCGCTGCTCCCGGCAATAAGACTACTATGCTCAGCTCCATCGTTGGCCCGAGGGGAAAAGTTTGGGCCTTTGAAAAAGATAAGCAGAGGTTTCAAGTCCTCACAGAGATGATTAAACTCGCGGGTTGTACTAGTAAGCACTTTTTTCTCTTTAATTTCCGTTTGGGGTACTTCAGTCGACATATCCCTAAGTTAGAGTGATTTTCTCAACCTTAGATGTCCGTTGCATCAATGGTGATTTTCTGGCTGTCAATCATGATGATGAGCGGTTCAAGGATGTTTCATGTATCCTGGTGGATCCATCATGTTGTGAGTCACATGCGCCTCACCTCACCATCAAGGAGTGTGTCAATGATCTGATTAATGTTTGTGTCGATTTGCAGCGGGATCAGGAATCTCTAATCGACTCGACCATCTCTCCCAAACGGATTCCCAAAAGAAGCGAGATGAAAATCGGATCCAATCCCTATCTCGCTTTCAGACGACTATTGTTTCTCATGCGCTTCGTTTCCCGTCTGTTCACCAAGTGGCTTACTCTACTTGCTCAATTTGGGTATGTTGCATTTCTAGCATGCATCTATCTGCTTACCAACAGCTCTTCACTTGAAGTCATCTTTCTGAGCAAACCAAGAATGATTGAGACATTTTGTATTTTCTTCTTCCGGGCTAACTGGTTTTCAGAAAGAAGAAAACGAAGAAGTAGTCTTCAGGATCTTGAACAAGCCTGAAATGATTGACAAAGGCTGGTCCCTCAAAGAGGTAAAAGACACGTTCCTTAATAATTCGAAAACTCCGTGGGGGCGGACTGGGGAGGTGATCTCCACAAAAGAGAAGCGTAAGTCATTTGTTCCCCTTTTATTTTGCTACGCTCATCGTTTGGATGGTTGACGATGTGTTGGCTATATAGATTTGTCAGAACGGATGATCAGATTCGATCCTTCAGTCGACCAGACGATTGGCTTCTTCGCAGCAGTCTTCCACCGCCCTGTTCCACAACCAGGCCCTGCCAGCGCGAAGAAGGCTGAAAGAAGCACGTCTACTGCAATTACTCAGAAAACGGAACGCGCCCATCATCCCAAGACTAGCTGTGACGAAACTCCATTGCCGTTCGCCCAATCCCCTAAACTAATCGTCACTGGTAAGAAGGAGAAGATGAGGACAAAGAGGACTGTCCTTTTCCACGGCATCCGACCTGGCAGGTTAATCTCCATATAAGAACGCGATCTTCATTTGATTGCATCTTTGTCTTGTATCTACCTTGCTTGAGAAACCCAAGTCTTAACAAACACTGGGATGAGTTGAGGATTCTCATGGATTAAATCGGACAACAAGCTTCCTCACAGTGGCAATATGTGATGAACGCTATGACTCCCTTAGGTACATGATCCAGGACAACCAAATATGTTAGATACTATTGCTTGGAATCCTCACATCATGTCCCCACTCGTTGTTGAGTCGGTGGCTAAGTGAAAATTAGTGTTAAGAGATGGGAAGATCCTCCCAGACCTTCCTTGATTAACATGACGTTGTTCTGGTGCGCATGCCGTGTAAAAATGGTTTCAATCAACATGATTCAGGGATTCCCCAATATTGAAATCGATCCCTTACTATTGGAATATAAGCTTTATGGACAGTCAAGGTTGCTACTGTCAGTAAAGGTGGCTCGGGCTCGGTGGGGCAAGGGAGGGGCAGACCTAGGATCAAAAGAGCAGAAACAGGATGAAGAAGAAAAGAGAACGGCTGAACAGAAATAGAATGAAAGTACAACAGATGTCACAGGCGACATGTCACAAGCAGTCACTGAGATTTCTCATTATTCCCACACTTGCAAAGCGCAACTGGTCTAGAAATGCAGTAGAACAGCTGTATTTTATTTCAGGTTCAACAATCAAAACAAATAAAGCTACAACAATTGCAGAAGAATAGGAGGAATACTGTCCGAGAGAGAAAGGTCACAGATCTGTCCTATAGTCTTCTGATGCTCAAATCACTGAGTTTCACGAGACCAGAGTAAAAATTGGGATGGCTGTCGAGAGGCAGATTGATTTTCGGCATCGAAGCATTCTGAATAGGTGCAGGAATGAAAGATAGATCTACCAGTGCGCGTTGAGCGGCTTTCCGCCAACGCAATTATCGTTCTCCGTAGTTTTTGATAAGTCAACAGTGATTATGTTAAATTTGCCCTTTGGCTATGATTTAGACGATAATGAAAATTGTATTAGTACATCGGACTTATATAAAGAGAGTTGAAAAGGATTTTTATGAGGAGAGAGTGCTCACGACGTTGGGCTTCAAATTGAATGCACTCTTTCGGCAACAGCGAGTTTCGTCTAACATTGTCCCGACGCAATTGTGAACGTTTTGCTTGTCGATGGGCGTGTTTGCTAAGGTCACTGTTAAAAAATGGTTCAGCAAATCGGAGGATAGTCGAACGATGAGATTGAGGCTTCGAAGTGTCATGATTGATTGGGAGCAAAGAGTTGAGCAACACAAGACTGACTGTCATATTTATTTGGGTCTGTTTTGGAGACTCCGCCGCAAACAGCTACCCGCTCGTCAGCTGACTCGCCACCCCTCCGAACACATCTGAAAGGCTCGTTTGCTTCATCTGCAAGTGCAAGTTTACAAGCTACGATTGCCAGCAATGTGAGCGATTTCAAGAACTGCATAATACCAGGAAACTTGGTGGGTGCCGACACAAGTGGACAAGAAAGTATGCTTAGAATATAAAGGTGTAATGTTTGATCAAACTGGCGAAAGTTGAAAAGGGTTGCGAGTTGATCCTGGTCGTGGACAACTAAGAAGAGAAACTAATTTGTCGGTTGCGTGCGCTGGGTTGGAGCTGGATGATGGTGAGTTTCCAGATGATCGAGCCAAAAGATCGTGCTCTCTTATAGTGAACAATTCAAAGAGGCGAATCCAACAGAAGAGAGCCGGGGAAATAACTTGATCCCTGGAGGCAAGCTGAATACTATCCAATCATCACCAAGCACCGGGTTGGTGGGGCTGAAACCACCTCAACCCACCATGTGACTGTGAGAGAACATTTTGCTATGGAGGCTCCGGCGCATTGCTGGAACTCGTCAACAAGCAGTGCCCAAACCTGGCTAGTTAGACGAATGCTCCCACTGTTACCAGGCCAAGCAACCTGTGGCGGCGAGCAGCTTCTCCTTTCTCAAAAATTCACCACGTTGTATTACATAATTACATCGATAGCCTGACCGCCAAGACTTGGCTGTTAGGGCAGTATTGGGTCGAGTCCTTTTCTCATACTTTCTCGAACACTATTTTACCGAACTCAACCAATGTGACACGCGGCAGTCTAATTATATGTAGCGGAAGCCTTGACATCAAATCAAGGTGTGTGGATCCAAGCCATTGTAGCTGCTTGACAAGACGGCCAGGCGCGCTGAACAGGATCCACAGCATCTCGCAGGACACAGCCTGCTAAGGAGATTCGAAAAAACTCGCGGTGGGACGGCCAGATTGTACGGATGAGAGAAGTATGCAAGTTGTATTGAGGAGAAATCAAGAAATCGATTGGAAGAAGACGTTAGACAAGAACACATATTAGGCGACAATAGGAAGAGATAGGATAGATAGAAAGCTGCTTGGATGGGTATAATGTCGCCAGGAACAAATGATAAAAACAAGAGCCATGAGTGGGATCTAATCTGGGACGATTAAGAGATCAATAGACAGAGGAATGCCAAGACGTAGGGGCTGGCAGCACGGATGTTTCCCAGGGAATTGGCACCTGATGAGGCGTCGGTTGAGTTAGAAGAGGACGCAACGGCGTTTCTGACGGCCGGGTTAGCCGAGCTGGTCGAGTTGGACGCCGAGAAGGTTTCGACCGGGGCTGGGATTGATGGCGTATTCTTGGTAGTGACTGCTCGGGAAGCAGTATCGACCGATTCCACCGGCGCGGCAGCAGCTGGAGCAGCGGCAGCAACTGGTGCTGAAGTGACTGGAGGAAGCATGCCGGCTGCGGTGGCAGTTGTTGCACTGACAGGCGCGGTTGCACTGCTAGGAGAGGTGGCACTGGTAGGCGCGGTTGCAGTGACAGGAACAGCCGATACAGGGGGAGGGGCTGCACCGGTAGGCGCACTTCCTGGAGATCCGGTCATCGGGGCAGCAGCAGGTGAGGCCTCGGCGGGGGGAGATGTCGCGGCGGCGGAGGCTGCGGGGGAAGCGGCAGGACTCGTTTTGGGAGCAGCGGCCGAGGACGAGGTGGGTGGGCTGCTGGAAGCAGGCGGAGTAGTCTAACCGAAAAAAGGAAAGGGAATCAATGTCAGGTGTGCTACATATTATCTGGTGAATAGTGAGCCTCACAGCTTCAGCCACGGATGGAGTTGCAGGAGTAGGCGTAACAGTGGCGGCCCTATTGATGCCGGTAAACTGGGGTGTGCTGTCAATCTAGAACGGGTCATACCCCGTTTTAGCATGGTGTGCAGCTTGGTCATGGGGTGGAAAGAATCAACACACCATTTCTTTTGCTGGAGTGCTAGGCGCTGGTGCGCCTGCGGGGCCCAAGGGCAATTCCGGCACGGGTGACATGGCCGGTCGGGACGAGACTTGAAGCACATTGGCAAATACTGCGAAGAGACGGAATGCGAAATCAGCGCGACAGTACGAAGAAAACACGAGGGCGGACTATCTATCTTACCTGCAACTGCAGCCGCTCTGGTGATTTGAGTAGAACGCATGATGAGGAAGAGTGATTATGGAGAATGAAGATTATAGTAAGGCTGTTAGGCTTGGGGTATATTATTATAAGGTGGTGTGATGTGTGGAGTGGGGTGAGGGAAAGACGCCCGGTGAGTGAGATTGGGGGCTCTTTTTATAGGAAAAATGGTAAGCGTATGTGTGGATATTTTGGGCATCCATTAGGCCTGCACTGATTGCAGATTGGTTCGACTTGGTTCTCCATAGAGAAGGCTTGCCAATCGGGAGAAGGCTGTCGACTGTCTCGGTCCAGTCGCCAGCCGGCCGGTCAGCTTCGAAATCCTCCCCCCCGGTCAGCATCTTTCTGCTGAACACTCTGGGGGTCTGAGCTGAACGACTGGCTTGGACATCTCAAAGATCTATTAGAGAGAACACGATTGGCCCGACTTGACCAGGCTCAAATGATAGGTCCAGTACAGACGGAAAGACCATGCGTAGCCGGGCCAGGGCCCAGTGATCCATGTGCCTCTTTTAACCTGTTTTATAGCATCGGAATGCTAAAAAGCAATTTATTTACGTGATGTCTACGTTTTCCCTGATTTTGGTGGAGGCATCAACATCAAAGCGCACTGATTGGCTCGGTCGACAGGTATAGACTCTTGAAGAGGCACCGCGCGACACAAGTCTGTCCCGTTTTTGCCATCCGATTTCAATCTCATGCCCGATGACTTGGTTCCTTAAGTCGCGGAGACGACCATTGCCATTCAGCTCTACCTTGCATGTTTGAGACAATACACGTTGTTTGCAGTATTGCGAGTCCCATCGAGACGGCCTCGTTTGCCTATCAAGCGTGTCGGGTGGACATGCAGGCGAATAGAGACAACATCTGAGCTGGGCCGCCCATCCGCATCATAATGGGTTTGAGGTCCAGTGACAAGGTGTCGATGTGCACACAGTTGACCATGGCACAGATATGAGGTCATGTTGAAATGCCGGTCACCGCGGTGGCTAGCTGGAAGAGGACGGCCCCCGCCGGGGATGTGTTCTATGCACATACATAAGGAGATATTTTCCTCCTTTTGGAGGGTCACTAGCGCCGAATCATCAGGTCATGAATGCTGAAAGAACACACCGGCGAGTGCGGGTGTTCACGCTGGAGCAATAAAAATGGGTATTGAAGTCAAGCTACTGTAACAAAAGAATCAAGAGGACAACCTTCCATGAGGCCATCACATTGAGACTCAAAATTAGAATGGTTCTGCTTGATGAGATGGAAAATTTCTCCCTGATTGAGAGTGAGAAACCTGATGGCTTTTGGTGGTGTGTGGGGTGGGAAAACTCCACATTTGGAGTATGAGGAGGATACAACCCCAATGCAGCAAAATAACATCTGTTTTTCAAGAATGCCTGGACTGAAAAACGGAACAATATTGGGGATGTGCAATGTATGCACATCTATACAAGTTTTGTGTGGAGATCAACATGACTTGAACCGGAAATTTTGGTCAGAAATGCGGAGAAAATTCCAGGCAAGCTCATCATGTGATATGAAGATTATCAAGTCCACGGCTTTGATGTTGGAGCTTTATTCCAGCCATTGATTAGCAAGAACACAATAAACAGGAAAGATCATTTCAGCGTCTCGCGTTTTCTTGCTAGCTTAACAAATCCCCTCGACAGAGGGCCGGAGCCCGGAGGCAACTCTCGAAGCGAGCCTTGGGCCAATCAATCTGAATATACTCCCGACCTGCTTGATTCCCTACTTTAAGAATTGCTACCTCGAGCATGGCTGCGAAGTGCGAGCAAGCCGGTGTCACTACGACAAGCAGCCTGTTGGTGGGAGTGCTAGTGCACAGCGCTGTGAATGTCATACAAGTGGGCTTTGTCAGAAGACGGACGATGCGGAAGGCACCGATTGATAACTGAGATCTGAGCATCTCATGCCTTACAAGACTGCATGGGGACTTGATGTTATTTCTGCAACGGACATGTGATCATTGGATTTTTTTTAGCACAAACAAAGAAAATGATGGACCAGGGGCTACATGAGTATGACTGGTGGGGTACAAAGCGTCGTGTATTTTGAAAGGTTTTTAGGACAAGGTCTCGTGTATTGTTTATCTTTTTTTCTTTTTGAAGTTTTAACGAGCTGGATGGATCATGAGGTCTGCAAAGAGGGCTAATTGAGAACAGAAGAGAAATCAATGGTGGTGGCCGTGTTTCTTCTTCTTGGTGGCGTCCTCGAGCAAGCTGCCGACGATGGCTCCACCGACGGTACCGAGGAAGCCGTGGTTGTTCTTCTTTCCGAGCAAGCCGCCTGCCACTCCCCCGCCTAAGGCACCCATCATTCCACGGTCGCCCGTTTGGCCCGAAGCTGGACCGCCTGGTCCCGGTTGGCTGTTGTTGTACTGGTTCTGCGGCTGTGAGTAGTTCTGTTGACCGTTGTGAGGAGGTTGACTACTGATTCACCGAAGGGAATGTGCAAGCGATAATCAGCATCGATGAAAGCTAGCAGACAAATCAAAAGTTTCATTCATTGGAAAACGAGATGTCCAACTTACTATGAAGACTGGGCTTGGTAGCCCCCACCCGGTGCGTTACCATAGTTCTGGGGAGCAGGTTGGCCGTATTGCCCAGATTGCTGCTGCTGGCCGTAGTGACCCCCTTGAGTAGGGTGCTGCTGGGTGGGATGGCACTGTTGGTTTTGTTGCCAGCCGCCGGTGGGTTGGTTGTAACCTTGGTTGTAACCGTAGCCAGACATGATGATTGAGTGTTTATTATTGTTGGAGTTGGTTGTAAATAGATATAGTGATTGGTTTGCTGCTGTGTGGTACTTAAGGGTGATTGATGGGGAGCAAAGATTAAGCTGATCGCCTGGGGCTCTTATATAGGGAGCACACCAGCGAGTCAATCAGACTGTCCGATGCACCGCCACTCCAGTTTTTTTTGCTCAACGGTCGGTCCTCGTGACTGTGTGAAATGCTCGCTGGTTGCGAACGTTAAGCTATGCTGTGCTATACAGCCCCCACGTTCTTGTGTATGTATTGAAAATTGGCCGGCCTCGACTGCTAATCGGTCTGGGCCGGATCAGGGTTGACTGGGGTCTGGTTGACTTGATTCAGTTGGACCCGTCTAGGTTAGACCTCTGACGACAGCTTATCCAGACCCTGGCTGATTCGTCTCCACTACGCTCATGTCTCCGTCAATCTGTATGATGACAACCTGTGCAAATGATCAAGGAGAAAAAAAAGCCATGAATGTTTGACCGGATCATCTTCAGCTGAACCATCAGGGCCTCATGAGTCCCCTCATCATCATTAAGATAAGAAGAAAAAAAATGTCAATGTCGCAAATGCGTGTCAATCGGTGTTATTTCATTCAATGCCTGGTGCCGATCGAGCGTCAACAGGAAGCTATTGATGTCAAATTTAGCTTGGTCAAGGTTTTAATGAGTGGCAAAAAAGAATTTTTCAACCTCAACAACATGTTATTTTTAATGGGTTTTAAACAGGAAGAAAGGCTGCTTGCAACAATGATCAAGGCTATGCCTTCCAAATCAATTCTGCAATCTGTGCATGCCTGGATGACTTCCCCTTGGGGGTTAGAGCCCTTAATCCAGACCTTGATTTACACCACTTCAATCTCAATTTTTTGGCAAAAAAAAATCACAAGCCTTGTTGTGAAGGTTGATATGTGAACCTTGTTTCAATTGGAGTGTTACTTCAGAACTGAGGGGGGGGGGGGGTCTAAAAAACACTTAAAAAATGGCAACAGGAAGTCCACCACTAGTGCAATTATTGAGGCTCCATTTGGCCCCTCTGACATAATCTGCAGGATTTTCAAATGTTGACATTTACATGATATTCTGGGCGGCCAAATGGAGCCCAAAGATTGCATCTGAACAATTGTTTTGACTTGTTGATTTTAAACACATGAACTTTGATTTTGCTAGGGACTGAGGTAGAACATATGATATGCAGTCAATAGCTGACCTCTGCGCTTCTTTTTCAATAGCAGGGTTCACAATTAGGTTCTATCAGCATACCCTTAGGTCAACAATAGAAGCGTTCAAATTTCTTACAAAGAATATTTCCACACCTCCCATCAAGAGAAGGTAAGGAACAACTTCACAGAGCTCCACGACTAATTTGCTGGATCAACCAAATCCTTTAGCAACCTGTAGCACTTGCTGAAGTGGGTTGCCTTGATTTTGATGCTGTTAATCCCTAACCTAGTATTGAGCACTCTGCACAAATTGTAAGCATGGTGAGCATGCATCAATCCAGTTGTGAACTGCACTAATAGCTACAGAAACAAGCTTGGTTTGTTCTGTCTTTGCTATATGTGAAATCTTGGAATGTATCTTCTGGGGACCTTACACAAAAGCCAAAACTAAGCTTGACAAGTCCCAGCAAAAAATACAAAATATGTGGCTCTGTGCCTGCAGCCTGATTTGCAAGTTTAAAAAACATAAAATATTTTGGAGGGTCTTGGAAATACAACTCCCAAAACTTGGGAGAATGACTCCCAGGACTGCCCATTGACATCCCTGGAGAGTTGTATTTCCAAGACCCTACTATGCAATATGCATGTTGCTGTGATGCAAATCTTCATCTACTATTCATGAGGTTTGATCTGGTGATTTGGGACCCCTTTCATCTGTGTTTAGATTGATTGGGATGGCACCTTCTGCTAGAAAAATGCCAACTACACAATGATTGCTGGGTATGATTTTAGATTTAGTCAGATTTTACCTTCTGCTAGTAACATGCCAAACACTTGATGCTGGGTATCATTGTTTCTAACAGGTGCATAGACACTGACACCACCACCAATGGCTTTCTGAAAGAAGAAATTTTCAACACACAAAATCTATCTGAAATTGTTTTGAATTAATATTTACAGCAAGTCATATTTGACATCAATCATGAGCTCATTCTTTCAACTTCCCAATCATTTTTTCAGAAAATTCATTGTTGTTGGAAGCCTTGAGACATTAATGGGCCACAGAGACTTGTGGAACATGTCAGCTGAAGTACTGTATGTCAGACTGTCTTTTCCAACAAGTTGTGTTGAATAGAATCAAGAACTTGCAGAACATTTTTCTCAAGAGTTTTTACAGAGCTTTATTTTGATCTGGTGACTCTTTGGAAGACTAAAATAACTCACCTGATCATGTCCAATTATTTTTTAGAATGAATCCCACCATCAAGCCAATTCTGATCTTTCCCAAAACATCCAGCCAGTTGGTTGTTCCATTTATGAGCAGGGATGAAAATTGGGAATTTTCCAGATGTGAATCAAGCAAACCCCAGAATAAATTGATGAGATGACCCTGGAGCTAACTTAATTCATTAATCTTTTATAATCTCAACTGGTATGGTTGGGAGGATTAGATTAGGCAGCTAATCCTGCCTGATCCGCACACCAATGTGGATGCTCATAGATGGCTCAAATGATCTACACTAATCTACTTCATACCTCACATCACACTAAAATTTAAAAAAACAATAGCTTTGTTGCCCCTGGCCCTGGAAGAAATAGCACTTTCATGGTTAGGGGAAAACAGTGTAGGCTCAGCTTGCACTTTTTTGTTTTACAAGATGTCTCAGAAATAAAAATCCGGGTCAAATTATAATGAGCTATTTTAGCCAAAATATTAAAAAAAACCTCAAACTTAATTCTCACCATTCATTTTAGCTCATTTGAGGGAGGCATTTATACATCACCAGTTTTGGTGCCCATTTTTGGCATTTGTAGTCTTTCTTCCCCACCTCCCATTCTTGTATTTCTGAGCACTCCCGGCACTCCCCTCAAACCAAAGACCAAAGCTTTGTGGAAAGAAAAATCAATACTATTTCCCATCTTTTTTTTTCCATACATATTCACTTTATGGGACTATATTCTGCACCCAAGTCTGATGGCTTGATCAAGGTTTTGTGTTGAAGCTCCGGAGCCCAAAACAAGGATGAACAGCCACGTTTGACTGTCTATCAGTACCCACTGTACAAGTCACTGTAACCGTCATTTCTGGATCACGGTCGTGATGTTTATTTATGTCAAGTGTGTTAATTTTAGGATTTCGAGTTGGGTATATGTAGAAAGTTCAAAAGCTCCGCCTTGCACCCTTGTAAGTACGTCCATTGTGAGTGTGGATGGCTTTATGCATTGCAAGACAATAATTATAATCGTCTTCACGGTGATCTAAATAAATCTGCAGTCATAAAAGCTGATTCCGGCGGAGTTGTAGCCTATCATCTTAATGAGTTCCAGAGAGACGCCCGGAATTCCGGCCGGTTCTTCATGTGTTCCTCCAGCCGGAGATCATGACGATCGAGTTGGCCAGCCGGATGGCAAGAGTGGACGGAGAACTGATGAAGGTATACATACACCACCGGGCGTGGTGGATGGCATTTGGACACCCAATCGGATGTACCAGATGCCATCCGACCTTGGCCCTGCAAGGAGCATCCATTGGATGCGACTTGCATGTTGCTGAACCCGGATGGTAGGGCCAAACCATCCATCGGATGGTAGGATTAGAAGCCCTTGAGGCTAAAAAAAGCCAGGCCTTGGGTTTGAACCCATGACCTACAGGTGCTGCCTCCAGTGACCTCACACCACGGTCATTTGCTTGTCGCCGCGGATGTAACCGTCACCTTGACGAATCCGCGTGCGTGACTGCGGCAGTAGGCGCAGTGACTGCGCACGAAACCCCCAATGAAACCCCCAGATGTCGCTCCGCGCGGGAGCGACATGCAATTGTCCGTGGTGTCAAAGAGGCAGTACCTTGCTACTCGACTATACCACTACGGACATATAGCTGTCGCTGCGGCCCGCAGCGTCACCTGACGTTTCCCAGCAGATTCAGATGTCGTGCGAGCAAATCAAAGTTGAAAATGCAACGACACTAGCCCCCTCGCAACGACAGCAAGCACTCGATGATCATCGCCAGGACGGTCGATCAGCAGTGCACTCACCCAGTACCGCGACCAGTTCGACGCTTGGGAACAGCTCCCCAATCCGCCCGTCTCGGTCATCAGAGCGCCTCCTCATTGGCCAGGGCCTCGTTCAAACTTAACGCCACTCAGTTCCACGCTCTCTCCGGTGACTTCAACAAGCTCAGCTCGTTCATCACTCAGAATCATCTCAATCAACACCATCCAACTACTACAGGTACACAGTTGATTACCACCTCTTCTAAAAATATTTAGCAGAACGAGAAAACTGATGAAAAATTTTGTTTGTTGATGATTTTTTCCAGATTATGGAATGGTCTTGGACGATTAGGGGATGAAATCGTCCAAGTGGAGGACGGAATGAGTTGTGGGATGGCTGAGATCTCAGAGCTACATGACTGGGTGGATGGACTATTGACGCCAGCGCTAGCGGAGGTGAAGTTCAGCTACCGAACGACGAACGAGCTAGTGAGCAAGATCCTGGATGTGCATTTGTATCTGTGCGACTCGCTTGCGAAGGCGGCCTCGATCCTGTCAATCTATCGTTCGGTCCTGGGCCATCGACTCGCTTCAAGCCAGCCTGCTCGACCATCTCAAGCCGAGCAACCCGGTCTTCCCCTTCCCACAGACCGCTGCCTGGGCTGCCGCCGCTAGTCTCTCACTCGCCTCCTTCGCTCGTGGAATCGCTATCTTTTGCTCTATCTCTGGCTGCATTCAGCGCTCTTGTCTCTGATCCTCTTTGCATCGGCTCCACTGCTCATCCTCCCATTTGCTTCTATCATGCTATCTCTAATTAATCACTTTCTTTCTGCCCCATCTCATATAAACACTTCTTTTTTCATACATGAGTCCAAGCATCCTTTTTTTGTGTGTTCTTCCTCCTCCTCCTTCTTACAACAGATATATCTTCCCTTTTTTTTATCTTGAGATACATTTAATCATGCTTTTGATCATCTTCTCACATCTATTTGTAGTTTTTTTTTGGTTTTTTTTTTTGTTATATGAATCAATCCATGTATCTGATTACAGAGAAATTTGAACTATCATATTGAGGAGTGCTCCGCTGAGATGTGAATCGGAAGAAGGGTTCTCTCCGCCATGTTTGTAAAAGATCGCACATTGATCAAGTTTTGAAAGCGAGTGTCTATAAAAGCTTTCTGGTGCTCGCGAGCCACCAGATGTCTCCTGGTTTTGTAAGAGGCGGTAGTTGAGTGATAAGATCTCAAGTACATGCCTCAGACGAGGAAGAATGAGTACTCCGCTAGGTGTTATTTCTGACTCTCAGTTGGCTTGGTCTTTATCACTCAATCTGGGGAACAGAAGCTATCTGGTTTTGAGGTCTTGAGTAGTCCGAAAGTCCCTCAACCAATCCTCTACGTTGGTCACCTCCACCTACCTTTCAACTTCAATAAAACAGCGATTACTTATTCAAAGCGACTCGCAATTTTCTGATAATTCCTACAGACTCTTGGCGGATTGTTTCCAGAATCCGCCAGGTATGCCAGTCCTGAGCAGTTATATCTATTAAACAAGACGCTATTCAAAAATCTCCTGCCAAGTGTCGATGTAAGTTCCCAACAACGCGGGAGCATCCCACCGGCGCTCTTCTCGGGCCCGTCGCTTGGCATTGGCAAATCCCAAGAGGAAGTTGAAGGCCAAAGCGTTTTGGGAAATAGGATTTGGGAGCGGCGAGGGCAGGGGCGGGGTTGCTGGTGCGTTCTTCAGGGAGAATCGGCTGATCAAGGTGTGCAACAGTCTTGAAGGCTTCTTGATGGCCAGTCAGGGCGAACGGGCTTCGCTGGTCAAATCTATCAAAGACTAATCTGTTGCTGCATGCTGTGAGCTGTCGCTTCTGGTGACGTAGCATGAGGATGCAGTTTGAATTGAAACGTCCGGGTGACGCTGCGGGCCGCAGCGACACCTATTTGTCCGTAGTGTACTAGATTCTTCATACTTCGCTAGTCAAAGAGTCGACTAGATACCCCGCGCTGCATTTTTGGATCGTTTTTCGACCATCGACCACCTTTTGAGACCATTTTTCGACAATCGACCCTTTTTTTTCCACTGCCGGACCCGGGTGAAAACCATCAATCGGACACTCTGAAAAGTGTCCGATTGATGGTTTTCTTGTTGTCCATCGGACACTCCCAATCAAGTGTCCGATGGACACCGGGCTGTACACCATCCTCTGGATGGTCTCGCCTGCCAAGCATCCCTTGGACGCTTTCTGAAGCGTCCAAATGATGCCAGGCAAGCCCGAGCGTCCGTTGGATGCTTCGCAACCAAGTTGCGGGCGCTCGGGACGGAATCCATCCGTTTGCTGGGGGGTTTTTCTAAAAACCCGCCCCATGGTGTATGCGTCGTCATGTAGAGGGATGCTTTACCTTGCCGCTCTGTCCACCAGTGATGCGAGCGCTATAAGTTGGGCAATCCCCTTCATCCGTCAAACCTGGTGATCTTGTATTCCAGCTTTCCAATTCGGGTTTCGGATAATTGGAAGTTAGCGTAGGACACACTTAGTAATAGTAATAGTAATAGTATCGGGTTCCCCAAAACCGTTATGTATGCTTGATTTGCAACGGTATTCTATTGCCGACCAGTCGAATCTCGGATGGCTGTTGAGCTCGGGCAGCTGTGTGGGGAGGGACAGACACAGACAGCCAGCAGGCACACGATCAGAAGCAGCAAGTCTTTGTTATGAGGACTTGAGCGCTTCCACAGGCTTCTATCAGTCGATTCGCAGACGCCCTTTTTTGATAAAAAGCTATTCCGAAGCATCCTGGCATGCCAATCTGCGCACACATCGAATACATACACAAACTTTATCTACTCTCGGGCTGTCTTGCCTTATAATTTTCCCTCTAATAGACCGATTGGCAACCACAGCACCCTACTGATCATCAGACTCATCACCACCATCTATAAGAACAAGAGAGAGCAAGAGACTGATTATTAATCATAATAGTTTCGACTTGACTCGTTCTGACTCAAAAGGCGCAAGTCTGGCTGGTAGGCTTTGTTGAGGACGTAGCAGCTTTCGGCTTCGGTGAGTCCATGATCTTGGTCTTGCTTATTCCTGGCAAAGGCCATCAAGTCCCAACACAGATTATCTAATCATAAGATTGGCTTGATTTTCTTCCATCTTTGACTCGCCACACACTTTCATCTCAGGTACACGTCGGATCCATCGTCTTATAAGATTATCAAACCCCCGGAATCGATTTATCCATTGATCATCACAGACGTCCACATAATCTTATCAGCGCTTTTTTTCAAGCTTAGGTGTTCCAGTTTCGTAGTCACCAACGAGCTGCAGTTGGACCCAACCTTTCGAATCCTCATCGTCAGTATCACCAGAAAAACCAAAGATAGTTGTAAGTGGCACTGAAAATAGACTCCAAAACTCGAGTGTCTGTGGGGGTATGTATAAGATAACTTAAAAGAACGTCAGGGATTCTGTATCTTACTTGACTAGAAGATGGACGGCTCAAATCGGACACCATCTGGTTCCCAGCCCGAATTATCAAGCTACTTCTTCTTCCCGAACTACGAGAGTTATTTCCCCGACGATGGCAGCGGCCTCGGAAGCGCAACCAACAAGCACGACGAGCCGATGCCGGACAGTCCGACGTATGACCCCAAAGTCTTGAGGCCCGTGCCGTTCTTCAGGTTCAAGCATCCGTCCTCTCCGCCCGGCCAAGCCGGCAACCGCGAGGCTGAAACCGAGCTCATCCTCCGATATCTCTACGATGCCACTCAGAACTCCGGATTCAATCCCTTCCCTGACAACCTTTCTAAACCGTCCGGCTCCTCTTTGTCCTCCAATTTCTCCCACTCCGCCCGGATCCCTCTCGTCAATTATCTCAAGAAGTTTTGGCGAACTAGTTGAATCTTCACAGCATCAAGATTGATTGGAGCCTGACTTGGTTCAAGTTTATGGAAGGTGGCCTTGAGGACTCTTCAAGCTTGAATTTCTTGATGCACTTCCTACAGTACCATTTTGTTTAGTTTAGTTTTTTTTTTTGAGTTAGATATTTGTGTAAGATAAGTTTCGTCACGTCGTAGTCAATCATTCCAGTCATTTCCTCATAGATTTACTTGCCAAAACCTTCACTATCTATCTGATTATGAATCAACTGAGCAGATTATATTTTCATCAATTAAGTGTTATTACTTACCACTAGTAATATCCATTAATCAGTTTTATTTTATCAATCTGAATGGTTGTATAAACTTACTCTTCACTTTCTCATTACATTTCTTGATTTTTTTGAGCTCTGATCATCAAAGCCATATATTACCTTTTGTCTTCAATTGTAAATCATGATGATGTGTAGCCTGTCCTACTTATGAATACATCACTATTAAGGTACTCACTGGCGTGATCAGATGCTTTGAGACTTGATGGAGTTTCCTAGATGTTTGAATGGTCAGTGAAACCAGAGATTGGGATGAAAACAGGGGATCAGAACTTAGCTTAATATGAGAAATGTTACCAATTGATCAAATAGATTCTTTTGGGGGGAAGTGGTAGGACATCAAGATGCAGATTAATATGATATGAAATTATTATGATCCCCAAGCAAAATTTGTTTATTGTGTGGTTTCAACTTTCTGGGAAACCTTCAGCAAATGGTCGCTCAAGGAAATCACCAAAATCCTAGGGTCATGTAGCCCACAATTCCAGTAGAAATCATTGATCCAAAAGAGCAAACCTCAATTCATCTCTTGACAAGGGCTATGACCAAATTCCAGCCATTCTGTACAAATTAGGCTGAAAAGACACTTATGGAAACATCTCTGAGCAGTCAGTATAATTATCTGGACATCCAGATATAATTGTGTGAATCCTGAAGTTAGGACATTTTCTTAACAAGCAATCAAAATTGAGAGTTGTGGTTCACTAGGTCCACACTCAATACTAACTTAAACAACTTCCAAGACAGAAAAAATAAAAGTGCACCTATGATTCAAGGAAGTGAGTAAGGAGACACTGTGATTCAATGAATGGATATACACAAATGATACTCATTTAACTTTTGGATGAGCAGACAGCTAAGATTATAGTCATAGCTTCACTAGATGTTCTATTTCGTTTGGATGGATCAGACTCTTCCTGAGTATGCTCCTGTTATTTAAGCTTAGGATTAAGGGGGGGGTATATCATTAATTCAATGAGTATACCCTCATCCGGAAATTCACAGGTACCCAAGTAAAACAGATCAGGGAGGATGACAGATTTACCTACAATCGAAATACGAATTCAAACATAGTTGGGTTTTTTTTTGGGGGGGGGGCGGAAGATTCTGGCATGGGGTTTTTCTGAGGAGGGATTATAAGCACTGGTATTCGACTCTGACAGTCAAGCTGCATCCATCACACCCGATGGTCTCGATCCCGGCCTCCATCTGATCTTCCGTGATCAGGAACTGTCCTCCGCATCTACAGGGGAACACGAATCGCTCTGCGTCGGGATGCTGTTGTCCTTCATGCTCCAGTTGTGTGAATTCGGAAAGATCGAGGACTTGCGAGACGATCTTCGTCTGTGTTGTCGAAGATGCTTTACATCCATATAATATGATCAGCTGAACGAGATTGATGAGCCGGTGTTCGATGGATTGGATGGCTCGAAAACGCACACACTTGTTCGTGTCCCGGAGATGATTGGAGCCGCTTGAGATCGTATTCTGTCCTCCGAACAGGGTCAATCAAGCTCGAATAAGCATGAATCAAGTCTTGAGCGAACCGATGTTCTGCGGTCAGTTGAGAGTGACCACTAGGCTGAGGGAGTGGTGATGGATCGTGGGACTGGGATGGTTGGTTGAGCTTGTCGGGATGGTGAAGTTTGATCAGTCTCAGGTAGGAGGCCCTGAGTTCTGCAGGACTGGCATCGCTCGAAACTTGCAGTATCTTGTAGTAGTCCTCCTCAGTCCTTTCGTCTTGGCTTGAAGAAGAGAAACCCATTTGGATGTCCAAAGTCAGACACACACGTTGAGAAGTTCGTGCTCTTCCAGACTTTTTTTGAGACTCTGGATTACCCGATTCGTCCCCGAGGGTCCCCTCGGCCGACCCGGTCTGATGGACAAGAATCTGAGTTTGGTTTTTCTGTTCATTTACCAAACTGCAACCAGCTGGTACAATGGGCAGATTTCTGGAATTGCTTTGATGTCTGTATCGGTTTTCCATGAAGATGATCCTATTCCAATCCATGCTGTAAAGCGCAGAGAGCAGTGAGTGCCAGTAAGATCTTGGAAGATCTACTTTATATGTTTGTTCAAGAAGCCCTGAACTTGCGTTTTCCTTTGCTCAAAGCCCAGCCACATTAAGGGCTGAGAACGAGCAAAAGTAATTGTTTTCACGTGGACGGCGCACGATCCAAGTTCAGAGCAACTTTAGACTCTTGCTCAATTTCCAGTCCCTTATATCCTTGTTTCGCCTTTCTCCTGATCCTTGGGATCAGTTATTTCTTGCAATATTCTTTATAAAACTCAAATGGTTTGATGATTACTGATTAACAAAATCCTTGGCGCGAGGACTCACGTAACGCCAGTCTCTGGTCAACAAAGACCCAATCAATCAACAGAAGGAAAGAGCAAGTGACTGATTGTAATTAGTATCTCACTCAGCACTTGCACCAGTTAATTGTCAACAACCAACGATCGGGTCACAAAAGATCTATAGTATGTATAAATCAACAAGAAAACAAATTATACAACAATGTCTATCATAGGACTCAATCACAACCAAGATGGCATTGTTCCCAAATGCTTGACTGTAACTGCATCAGTTGGAATACAAGTTATTCTATGTATACACATCGACAGTTGCTTGCAATTTCTGCGAACTATCTAACTATCTGTGTGTTAGTTTTATGATGCCGTCTTCTATAATTGTTGATTGTTTGGATACAACTGGCATAAACTTTTGGAGAGGATCGGACTATTTGAGAGGCTTATGTAATCTATCGAAAAGAAGAGAAAGTGCTCATGATGCAGAATGAAAGACTAAAAAAAAAAGATATGTAAGAGGTTGATCAGGTCGAGTACTGGGAGTAGGACTGATGGTCTAAAGTGTGGTCTATTTAGGGGACCAAATCAGATGGAGAATAAAATGAACAGACGACGATAACAGTATGAAGGCATGGAACACTAAACCAATAAGACTCACAACAATGCCTGAAAAAGATAAAAATAAAAAAGTAAGCAGATAGAGGGAGGAAATACTTGACCTTCTTATCAAACAGGGGTTGTCACGCTGGGAAGGAGACACGGATTACGAGGGGGAGCTGTGGGTGTTTCTTTTTTAAATGTCGATCAAGTTCCACCGCCGGATCGTTCGACGGGAATGACTCGGCTTAAGTTTCCGGGTCCAGCCTTAATATTTTTTTCGGGTATTTTTAAATGTTTTTTTTTTTTTGTTTTGAAAAAGTTAGATGGAGAAACAAGAGCCACCCATAACAAAAAAGGTGTGAGTTCGACAGTAGGTAGTATAGCAAACACGACGCGTGTTTGCGTTTTTTTTTCCGATGCCAATCCATCATAAAAAAAAGAAAAAGAAAAAAAGAACATCAGGTCAATATAAAGTTTAAAAAATTAATGTATCTTATGGGTGGCGTGTATCTTAAAGGATCAGGGTAAACCGGTTCAAGATGATGAAAAAAATAAAGACATGATAATAAAGAAAAGGATATGAACGACGAAGAACCAGAAGAAAAAGAAAAAAAAAAGGAAATCCCCCGAATGACTTCTCCTCTAACCGACCTTAGCATCATTTTTCCCGTCATTGACGACCTCGTTTCCATGAACTCCAACAGAAGCGCTCATCGAATTAGGCTCGGTGATCGGTGTACTTCCGTCTTCATCATCGCTCAAGAAGTTTTGTAACTTGTTTGATAATGAGACCTCTTTCGCTGCTACCGCAATGTCAACTACATCCCCAAAAACACATAAGTTAATGAATCTTTTTTTTCTTTCTGTTTTTTTATCATTAAATTTCGGACAGAACAAAACAACACTCACGGAAATCCGAGAAATCAATCGCGCCGATGTGATTAGTTTTAGCTCCAGAAACAATCATATTGACGGTTTCCTATTCAAAGAAGAACCACGACCGAAACAAAAAAAAATCAATAATGATTGTGAGATGGCTTCCACAATCTAGACTGTTCAAGAAAGCGAGAACTGAACCTTGGGAACATTGGCAAAATCCAAATGTTCAAGCGCGCTTTGTAAGTCGTTGGGAGAAATAACTCCATCCCCATTCGTATCCAAATCCGCGAACTCTTTCCTCAATTGGGTTAATTCTTTTGGGCTGAACATCGCTCGAGCTGTAGAAGTGTTAATTCAAGACGAAGGCGATTTAGGACAATTGGGAGAGCTCCCAGACTTTGGGCCAGAGTTGTTTGGTGAAAGGAGAAAGTTTTATCTTTAGAAATGAGATTTTAGACCTACAGAACAATTGGCCCTCCTCCGCGGTTTGTTTCCTCAACAAACCTCTGCGTACATCGGCGAGAGACAGTCTGAGTTTGGACCTAGGCAGACCCATGGAGAGCAAGAACTGTTTAGAATGGTTGAAGGTGGCTTCCTTGTGCATATTAGTCCATCCCAACTCTTCGGCCATGATATCAATCACTCGGGGCAAGACTTCCAATGCGGCTTGGGCATTCAAGAACGCAAGTCTGGTCCGACGGGCGATGATGTCCACAGGCGTGATGGCATATTCGTTCCGGACTACGTAGCGGACCTCTTCTTCAAGATAAGGGTACGATGGATCCAATCGTTTCCCATGCACTGGCCAACGGTTTCCTGTCGGCTCGGCCAACGAACAGACTGACCAGGCGCGATCGCCATAGTTGTCCGTCAGATGTTTGGCCACTTCGCTCTCCAATCCAAAGTCCTGGATCAGCTTGATGTACAAGGTGTTGTGCCAGCCGTGGGCTCCAATTAATTGGAGAAGTTTGGTCACACATGGGCCTTGTGGTTTTAGGTTGAAGGTCTCAATCGCCGCATCTACGGTCTCCTCGGCCATGGCTCGATAGGTCGTCCACTTGCCACCGGCAATCGTCAAAAGTCCCGATGGGGAGACATGAACCATGTGATTTCTGACCAACGATTGACTATCTTTCGCTGCTGGGTTACGCACCAATGGGCGGAGTCCGCACCAGGCAGACAACACATCACCTCTTCTGACTTTAAGTTCGGGACTGAGATAGTTTCGAACTTCGCCGAGAACCCATTGAATCTCTTGCTCCTTAGGGAGAGGATCTTGTTCGACTTCGGCGGGCGAATCGGTAGTGCCGGCAATCGCATTCCCTTGCCAAGGCAAAAAGAAGATCACTCGACCATCCGATGTGGCAGGATCGATCAGGCCCATATGGGTGGGTGCATAGTATGCAGGTAGAGTGATGTGAACACCGGAGGAAGGAGCAACAATGTTTGGCACGCTCGGGTCGTCTAGTTTCCGAATTCCATCACAAAACGGACCTGTGGCATTGATGATGCCCTTGGCTCGGATGTCGAATTCTTCTCCCGTAACCTGATCTCGCAGCCTCGCCCCAGATAACACTCCAGGGCTTTCTGCTGATCCTCTAGGCTTCACATCCGTCTTCTCATTGGCCGCCTTCTTGTGTACTAACAAAACAGTTTACATATCATCAATCGCAGCAGGGGCGCAGTTAATCGATCCTTATGACTTACATCCTACTACTTCCATATGATTGGCCACCACAGCACCCTGATGGACAGCAGACATCACCAAAGCCATGTTCATTCGAGAGTCGTTGTGAGAACCTGCGAAAGAGTGGTTAAAATGAAATGAGTAAACCAATGTATAGCTGGAACGGAGGGAGAAGCTGACCGTCATAATAAACAACAGCTCCACATAAACCATCGGCTTTCAACATTGGAAAGTTCTCCAATGCCTTTCCCTATTTTTTTTGTTTGTTGACAAAAATGATAATCAGGATGAGAAAGATGATTGATGGAAGTAGAGTTGTTAATATAAACTAATCAAGTGATAACTGACTTTTCCTACGAGATAACTGGTTTCCATATTCTCTGAACCAGCCAGCAAATCGTACATCTTACAACCAGCATAAAAGTAAGGAACTTGCCACCACTTGTAAACTGGCAACATGATCGGTAGATGGAGCGAGAGATGTGGTGCGATATGTAAGAACGTCTTGCGCTCATGGAGTGCTTCCCTCACTAATTTATACTACCAAACAGATGAACATTCAAATCAGGTATCAGTAAGTTGACATATATTATGTAAAACATCCTCTTTTGATTGGGATGGATGACGTAAGTCGTTGGTCGATCGAGAGAAGAGCAAAACTGATTGTGGGGGACTCAACTTGTTCATAGTCGAGATTGAAGACAGCTTTTTGGAGATATCTGACACCACCATGGACCAACTTGGTACTCTTACTGCTCGTCCCACTACTGAAATCGTCCCGTTCGACGAGGGCGACCTTCAATCCACGACTGGCGGCATCCAATGCGACCCCAGCGCCGGTTGCCCCACCGCCGATGACGAGAAGATCGTACTGTGGCTCGGTGCCTTTGGATTGGAGGTCGGCTGGAGACTTGATCTCGTGGACGAGCTTGCTAGCCTTGAGTGCATTGATCATATCCTGTCTGCTCGGCGGGGTCCATAGTACCGGAGGTCGTTGGTTGGCTGGATGGTTGATATCTCGACTCGAGTCTAGTTGAAGCCTTGAGTCCCTGGACTGGTAGTAGTAGTATAGTAAGCTCGAACCGGTCAGTAGGGCTGACCCACCGGCTACCGCTCTGAGGTTCAATCGGCCTGCGTTGTGGCGGAGACGGTTCATTAGACCAAGCTCCGAAGCTGATTAGGGATGTTTCCTTGTTTGTTTGTTGGGTTCTTTTGGGTTCTTGTCTGTTCTTGTTGGTTTGAGGTCAGGAGGAGTTCAAGTTGGGCAGTTGATTCCGAAAACCCTGGCGATCGACAACACCCAGCGGGTTCACCCGCCTCAACATCGACGTCATCAACCCTCCTACCCCACTCCGCCCATTTCACATGCCTCTACACATAATCCCATCCCTCCAGCCGGGGGATCCACATAAATACTATCATTTAGGGAAAATGCTCCATCTGACGCTTTCCCTACTTTCCATTCACTCGAGCTCTTATGTTTCTCCTAGGAAGACTTCAAAATTAAACAATGTGAAGAAAGAACCATCATTTAACTAAATTAATTCTTGTGCTTTTAACGACACGACTGATATGATACAACTCACTCCAAAAAGGATGAATTCTTGGAATTATGTATATTTATTTCTAATATTATAACTGTTACATGCTGCATCTACCCATCAGAAAGTATTTAACCAGAAGGTATTTGGGTTTTTAAAATATGTATGATAAATCAGGAACAATGTTCAAGTTAAAACAGAGCACAGCCTCAGCCTCAGGTCATCAATGGATGACTTCCCATGAGGAGAGTTGCAGCTCATAGAATCAAATTTTGATTCATTCAAACCCAAGTTTCTTCCAGATGGAAAATAGCTGCTGGGGAAACTTTGACACCTGTGAATAATTAGGTTTTTCAAGAAAATTGCTCAGCATAAATTTCAATTAAGGAAGTCATTAACTAGGCTATTGTGAACTCCCCGATATTATGAAGACACAGATAAACAGTACAGGTTTTGGTCAGTTGGGCAAAATCCCTCACATGATTTGCTCCCAATTAAGAACCTCATGAGCCCCCCTTCATCTTGCTTCATTGTGTCTTCACTTTTTTCATTAGTACTTTTCTTATCCACGGCACAGGGGTGTCAGTAATTCTTGCCCCCAAGTTCCACAAGAAATTTGTTTGGGAAAATGAAGGCAATTCAACTCTTACATGGTTTAAATCAATTATCAAGCTGTGCAAAAATTTGTTATATTCTGTTCAGGTGAAAACAGAATTGCCTAGTATGTTATTCCTCTCGACTACGCTTTCCTTTGATCCTTAATAATGCCTTCTTGTGACTTTTTTTGAAAGTTTGTGTTTGATGCTCTGACATCAAAATTTTCTCAGAATGCTGCCATTGAGGTACCACTCTTTCACAGTTTTTCCATGCGCTCATATTACTACCATCTGATGAATTGAATCCATCATCCACTCTTCTGTTGAAGCCTCGGCCGCAAAACATATTAGTAACAACATCAGCAGCCACCTTGTCAACATTAAGTATACCTCTAAAATGAAATAAAATATAATACAATCAAGAAATAAAGCGAGTGCCTTGATTTTCCTAGCAGTTCCATTACGTTAAGAATCAATTTGAAGATGTCTTGATGTTGAATGTTGAAGTGGAATTCAACTCCAAGATTAATCGTCTGGTGAGCTTGGAAGGTTGGCCGGATCTACATCTCAATAGTGCTCCTGGATTTAGATGGACTTGCACGGATAATTCTCTGGGCGAGTTCTTCCTAAATTGGATATTTGTTTTTCTGCGGCTAGCTTGCTATATCAGCTCAAGGATTCACACGGCCACCTTAAACCTGTCCCTGCAACTGCGGATGGGTAACATGAAACGGGAAGATGGCTCTCAAGGTGAGCCCTTGGTGTTGTGAGCTGATCCCAGCTAGGCCTCGTTGGCTTCCGAAAACACAGAAACAGAGAACTACTTGAATGTGAGGATAGCTCGTCATGGTAAAGCCAGATTCTCACTCGATTTCGCCAAGTTCTCCGGAACCACTCACTGGATCGAAATCTCATCGCTGGACGGTGTTCTTGAGCGTTACTGTGAGTCATTCCATTTTCCAAGTGCAATGTGTGACGGGAGCAGTGACGCTTTTGCGCTTGAAGGCACATTCAGAAAAAGTCCAAAAAGTTTATCTAACAAGCTGCTTTACTACCACTTTAATACTATCCAACCATCTATAAGCTTTTTTTAACCTGTGTCATATTCTTTATAAAGGCCTGAAGTTAGACTCTAGGGAGATATTGCAGGTTTTGTAAGTTCCTCTTTCTAAACAAAGCATTAATACATTGCTTCACTTGGGCGCTTGAGCTCACTTTACAACCTTCACTGGAGAACAAGAAAGATGTTGAGCTTAGCATCCGCCATTATGTCCATGAATGATACACATGCAAGCGGCTTTGACATCCCCCCGAGCGCCATCGCACCTGATTCAGATCCTTTTACCCTTATATCGGCCAACATAATTCATCAGTTTACCCGACCCTTGTCCAAAACGACAATGGCCCTCCTAGCAATTTTCCTTACCTTCCATTCGCTGATTGCTGTGTTCAGTCTGATCATCTTGGTATTGCCGTACACTGGCCGGACGAAGCGCTCTCAATGGTTTTTCAAGATGTCATACATTCCAAATAGACGCGGAGAAAAAAGTAAATTTATAGAATCAAAACGTAGCTGAACCCATGGATAGATGCTCATGAATCATTTTTTTTTTTGGTGATTCGCGGATCAAGTTTGCAAGACTCCCCTTTACTTGATCAATACTGGTTTTTTCATGTGTATTGTGCAACTTTTAGGATCTTCCAGCACCATGGCATTCATTTGCCTCCAAATAAATCCCAGCCGATCGTTGAATTACGCTTTACACGCTCAGCCTCTGATTGCGTGAGTGTTACTCGCAATATTGTCTTGGAATTTTATTGGGTTTTGTTCTCTTCTTCAACAATTTTGCGAATTTCCTCTAATGCAGTACGGTTGGCTTATGATATTCTGAAGCTTAGGTTTGATGTACCTGTTTGAAAATCTCGCATGTTGGATCATGGCGCATTGCTTTTTGACACTGTTAAGTCCATTCGATTTATCCCAAAATGATTACAACCATCACACTGACTAGCAGCGTTCCACATTGCAGCTCTTACAGCGCCCTTGAATCTTCTGGAAGGAACTCAAAGAGCCTAGCCAATTGGGCTCCATCACCACCCTTGGTGAATGTGGTTTTTGTTTTCCTTCCGATTTGTATTGCCGCTGGGATCACAGGTGTAATCGTACGCGGTGCTGCAGGTTATGAAATCATCCTAGGACAGACAAGAAAGGCACTCGATACTCTGAGCCAAGGCACTTCAATGTGGAAACAGCTGCAAGATCCATTCCAATCTAAGGACCAAAAAGAAATTCTTCTGTCCGACCTTGCGCAAATTCAAGAGAAGTTAAAGAAACTGGTCGAAGAATCAGAGACCAATCTGAAGAGCGCGATTCGTTATCATTACTGGAGTCACGTCTTATACTTAGTTTTCATCTGCATAACCTGCCTGGTAAGCCATACACTTTTCAAAAATCACTTGGAGGCCCAACGTGGTTTAGGAAGATCCACTGAGGCTGATTGTTGACTCTGCGAGAGTTGCGTCATACTTCAGGTTTTCATATTTTCATTCTGGAAGTTGACTCAGAAGTTCCTACTTCAGGGGCGGAATTCAATCTTCTTGCCAAACGATTCTCTCCCATGTGATGGCTCGCCAGATGTCACCAACTCCCAAAAAGAAGCGAAAGCGCAATTTAACATCACCCGTCGGATTTACTTGGGTACTCTGCGGACGGATCGCCAACTGTGTGCGTACTCGAGTCGATTACCCACCATCGGCTGGCATGAGTTTTAAAAATTTAGCCAGATTCATTCACTAAATCAGCATCTCCCTCGTTGACGGGTTTCAGTTGGTTTCACAGTCAGGGCTTATGCGACAGTTTTTTCGATGATAACCATGATGGTCTTTTATTTCATGAGCATTTTTAGAACTTCCGACATGATGATAAAGTAAGCATGCCCATTTAATTTCCAATGAAACATTAACATGTTCTGATGTCTAGCTTGTTCTTTCTTAGCCCCACTTGGCATGGAGTGGCAACGTGGATGCCAACTGTTAGTGGATCCTGGTCCGCTGTTCCAGTTGCCTGGCAATGTGTAAGGCTTGATACCCCTATTAACACTTTCTAATCTATTTTTACTAACTGATTCCCTTTTCATTTCATTTCATGAGACAGTGGCGGCTGTATATGGAGTAGCAGTGTGTAAATGCTGGGGATTACCTTAACCTTGGAGGAGCTCTTGTCCATGGAGATTTTGGTGACTGAGTTAGTGACAACAAAGTCTTGATTGGTATTGGAGAAGGACAAATACCAATAATAACTTCAGATTCTGCTAAGGAACAACGGAATTTTAATTCGTAGAGGATCAACTGAGGCACCCTGGCTCTTTTAAGCAATGGGTTAAATACTCAAAACCTTGGATATCACTTTTTTCTGTAAATATTATGACCTAAATCAGGTATTTTTTGTATTGTTATGGATTAGATTAATAGACCTACTTTATGCTTTAAATTGGTTAATTTAAGTCTTTCTCAAAAACACAAATCACACTTTTCAGGTCTCATTCAGAAAATAAAATTACTCAAATTGAAACTTTGAAAGTGTCACTCAGTTTATGACCACTGAGTTTGTGGTGGCTGATTTCTTTAAGCTAGCCTATTAGGGTAATTCAATTATTGCTGATTTCAGAAATCAGCCACTAAAACCTGTTCACAGTTTAACTTTGCTCATGCATCTTCAAGTCTCCAATCTGATAAATGAGCACCCTTGAAGATGCAAAATATCATGATTAAGTTTGACTGGGAAGTTTGGATTGGCATGCATAAGGTTTAAAACACCAGCAGAGATTTTTTTTTGGAACACAAACTGAATTATCACTGTCAGCTTGCTTCAAAACCCTCAGTTCTTCTGGCTGCTCTCCTTTTTCAAATTTACTGATGGGAATTCTTTGAGCATTTCTGGTTGCAGAAGAACTCAATAATGAAATGTCTGTCATCCTCCCATCAACTACTCTACCACTTGGTAATCACCACTTTCAAGCTCCAACATGCCCAAAAACACCAATCATATGGAACTTCATATTTCTCTCTACATATTTGTGATGTTTCCCAAAAACTTTGTAAATTTCATGAGTGTGTGCAAAATGCCAAGTGAAAAATGTATTTTGCAACATCCCTCTTATTACTAGATCATATGATACCATTGCTGCATAGAAAGTAATTTCACTCTGACCATAACTACTAAGAAGTTTTCCCCAACATGCTAGAATGGTTCAAGTAACACAACACACACACCATGTGTTATCAAATGGAAAAAATGGCTAAAAGAGCAACCCCCCCCCCCTATGTGCTATAAAATCTAAGTTTCATGGTTTATATGGACATTACAACTGTCCAAAAAATGTATGAAACATGATCATTCAACCAAACAATGATGTTCAACAAGACAGTCAGAGAACAACCCAAAAAAAAACTGTAGTCCGAGATCCCTCTAGAACAGTTCAGTCATTTTTGCTCAACGGTTTGGTCAACGGCGCGCAGTAGGTTCTTGCCTTGGCACCGCTAAGGATTGGACGCGAGCAGCTTCGTGGGCACCGAGCAGGATTCGGAGGTGCTCTGGTCGGATGTGTCGAGTAAGACCACCGTAGAGTTTATTCTGGCGCTCAGTCCACTCTTTGAGCTCGTCCTGCAAAGTGCGATGTTTGGTGATGATCAAGGAGTGAGGACTTCCATAGTTCTGGGTCTCTTGAGTGCAGACAATCTGGGCCTTCTCGAGTTCTCTCTCCAGGTGCTGACGTCGGGCTAGAGCCATTGGAAATCGGCCGACACGCTGGGAGGGGTTTCGAAGGAAGCTATTGAGACCCCCGCAGTCTCCGCATGTGCAAGCTACTTCAGGGACTGCAAAGGTGACGCCTGCTTGTGGGTGCGGTCCAACGGCCTTGTCCTCCGAGTGTTTGACAAATTGATGGACCAGTCGTTGGTAAGTTGGTGTGTTGAGCGAGACGGATCGAGAGGCCAGAACCGGTATGAGTTCATGGAGAAAAGGCATCCAGAGGCTGTCCATGTCCTCAGCAGAAAATGTAGCACATTGTTCAGTAATCTCTTGGATGAATGGCTCGAGTAAGTTTGCGGCATCGGTGCTCATTTGGTTGAGATCGTAGGCAAATTGAGCCAGAGCGCGCGGGGTGACCACCAGATCGTTTTCTGATGTTTTCTTTGTATCAGTGTTGCGCTGGTAGTGAAAATGCGAAGAGAGTCCTTCAGATGCCGGCTTTGATTTTGCTGGGCTGACAATGTCAGAGAGCTTTCTATGGCCATTGAAAACACGCGAGCTAAGGCTTTTGTAGAGTTCCACGGTGTCGGGAATCGCGAGATGTTTGGCTTGTCCTTGAGTCTTGAGCTGAAAAAGCACCTCAAGCAAGAAGGCAGTAGCACCTATTTGAGGAAAGCGATCAAATATCGATGTAAAACTAAGCACATGGGACCCAAACAGATGTCAGAAACATTCTAGAACAGCTACTCTGATACACCATAAAACAAAATGAAGACTTACAGCGCATGTGTAGAAGCCCACGCTTCCTCGAGCTCAAAGATCGCACAAACAATCCACTCGGCATCTGATCGAGTCGGCCTCTTGTTGGTCTCAGGAAAACTCTGGACACATCGAAGAATGACATCATGCGCCCAGGTGCGATCTGGTACGGCAGCGTCACCACTGGGATTCGACATCTTTCTGATAATGCTCATGCTATCGGCCATAGATGGATACGCTTGGATGAGAAGTGGTATCCTGTTGGATACGAATGAGGTAGACTTCAGTTGCTGATTGGGCTCGTTATTTACAACTGTTCCTGAAGAAAATCTTGTACATACCATGTCTGGTAGTACATTTCCACGAGGGACACATTTCGAAGCTTGTCGAGCCATTCCTTTGCCCAGTCAAAAAACTCGACTGGTAATAGACCTTGGTGGCAAGCCCCAACGGTTTGGAACAGCGCGTAGTGAGAGTATTTGAGCGAAATCTTGAGGAGATCAGTCATGTTCAGTTTTTTGCTGGATGTTGATACATACTGTCTGCACATGGCATCAAGCATGGATGTTTTAGCTGAAGGTGCCGAACTGATTTGACGAAGATAGCGTAAAGCGGAGTTGCAATCATCTCTTCCTGGCGATTTGGATTTACGGTTGTCGACGGAGGAACATGAATCATAGTCGTCTGGGGATCTGAACGTGCATTCGGCAAGAAATTCTCCAATTTTATCACGTCGAACAATAACAGCAGCTGAACGACGATACCGATGGGTGACACTACCACGCTGAGTATGACAATTTGGAGATTTCCGATTAGTATGTTGATCTTAAATGCTTGCCAAAATACAACGAAGAAACGTACACCTTCTCCCTCGTATTCATAATCTTCGCTGGGATCTCTCAGTCCTCTGAAGGGGTCATCCACCAGGCAAAATTGTGAATCAAAGTCGTAATTCCTGACCAAGATAGTGCCATCAAGCGCACGGAGTGACTTCACAACACAAGTGGTCTCCTCCTCATCAACATCGTCAATGGCGTGGTGGTTAGCGTCTGAACCTGAATCGGTGTCGTAGGCACTATATCTATAGTTTTTTGATTGGTAAGTTCCGTGCTCCTCTTTCTCCAATGACGCCAAGAAGATCTCAAAAGGAAGCTCGTGCGCAAGCTTTCGCAATGCATCGGTCCGCGCAAAATCGTTATTCTTGAGTTGATTGAAGCACAGGGTTTTTTCCTTGTACTGATGATCAAGGGTACGGTACAGATGGCTTGGCTCATTGGCTGTGTTGCTGTTTGCCACGTTTTCTAGCCAGCGTTGAAGGGTCTTTCGGAGTGGGACCTTTTTCAAGTCGAGTACACTTGCTGCCGGTCGGGGGTGACCCGGTCTGATGGCCAAGTTGTAGGTCAAGCAACATCGGTATCCTGACTGAACAGGTAGGACCTCATGAGTCACGTCCGAGTACCAGCAAGCAAAAGACTGGGTAGCGTCCGAGGTTCTCAAAGTATGGCATTCGTCATTGTGCTTCACAACAACCTCGCCGCCGGTGTGAGCTGATGGCAAGCAGATTACCAGAGTTCCAAACATGCCCGGAATCCTCTCAGTGCTGCATATTGTCGTCAGGAGGTTCGATATGGCATGTCAGTTTCCTGCCTGAAAATGACCGTGGAAATATGAAAAACTGAGAAAAAAGACGCTTACTCGGTGTCAGGCTTAAACATCGCACCAGTTCCCAGTATGAGCATCCTATAGAGATCCAATCGAATTGGATGATCAAGGCCGAGTTTGCTAGCAACGCGCTTGCTCAAATCGACCAGATAAGATTGCCATTCTGGCTCGAGGAAGGACAACTGGTCTCGGTTCAGCTCTCATGCGTTAGGGACGACGGTGGCCTCGTTTCCGCGGTCAGAGGTAGCCAGCCGTGCTTTGGCAATCAGCTCTCGAATCTGTTCCTCGCCAAGCGGTAAGTTGATTTCTTCAATTCCGTCAAACAGGAACGCAGCAGGTGGGGTGGTCGGAAGCGTCTCCCACCTAGCGAATGTCCCAGAAGTCTTGATAGCATTGAATGCCTTGTTGAAGTCTGATTTCAAACCAAGTACGCTGTCCAGATTACCTCCCATGATGCTTGCGAATAACGTGTACATGACTAGAGAAGCTCAACGTCAAGGGAAGACGTCTCGAGATAAGACGGAACAGCTGGGCGTGTCCTGTGGGGAATCAGGGCTCAAGACGGGCTTTACACGCATGACTGCTTGGGTATAATAGCGCTTGATGACAATGGATTGCTCCTTTCAGTTGACTTTCCTTTACCATCCCATGTAGCAATACAACAAGACAATCATCCGCAGATTTCTTCTCGATTCTATTTAGAAAGACTTGGTGTAATTTCTTGGACTCGAACGGACCTCTTGCAGTCGATTGGCTATACCTTCATCTCCCATAATAGGTGACTGACTGGAATTTTTCATAGGAAACTCAAGCACAGCGGGATGAACTAGGTAGCACGGGAGAAGACTTAAAACGGTCTGGGGCACTAAGAAAGCTATCAGTTGCTCAAGATGCCTAACTGAAATTCTGTTTGCGCCAATGATCTGGGTAAAACAACAGTTCTGCAAGTCACAAGTGGGGTTTAACAACGATTGATTGAAAGTAAGAAAAATCCATAGGGGCCGCAGGAAAGTTCCTCAGTTCGATCTTCGGTTGATGGAGCAAATTGGTCTCCGAAAAACACCGCACGGTGCTGCACTCGCTAACAAGCTGGGCCATGTTCCTGCAAAGGTGTGTGAGAATTTGAATGACATCCCACTCAGTAATTCAATCACTCAGGGTACAAGTGAGAGTGAAATATGGCTGTACTCACGCCGAGAGCACCATTACAACATTGACATGCCCCTGTTCGTTGGTCAAATGGGAGCAAGAAATCAGTAATGTCGCTGCATATTTTGCTATGGTTGGAGGGTGCCTGCTCACCGCCATTTAAGCGGCAAGGGGATGCACCGCTGGAACAAGGCAAGTTGGCGGACACAGAGGCGATGCTCGCCAAGGCGAAGAGTGCGAGCAAGGTGGGAAGGTAGTTGCCAAAGAGCATTGCGATCTTGGTTGGATGGGTGGGGGGGTTATTTCTGGTTTAATTGCGTTGTGTTGGTTTGGGGCGGGGCCTGTAATGATGCATGTAATGCACATTATTATCAAGTAAATGATGTACAGGGGAGGTGAACAAGGTGAGTGTGTGGGTAATACGGGAATGTAAGAAGTGTAACGAATTTTACCTTGTCTTTGCTAGTGGTTGTCTGGTGGGGTTATCGATCACCAGAGGGCAAAGAGGTCGTCTTTTATGTGCAGAATTCTTTCCAGTCGTGCCCGGTGCTCAAATTTTCGAGCAGATGACTTCTGAGCGCTTGTCGGATATCAATTGATTGATTATCAAATCAGTCCTATTCTCTCATCCCCTCTCATCCCTGCCGGTTTGGCGGGCGAGGTTTGGTTTCCTGCTTGCCATGTCAATGCAGAACGGCACTCGTTACCCGATCAGCACGGCAATATCCCATGGCAAGAGAAGACGGGGCCTTGTTTTCATCCAGATGACTTCCGCCTGTCGGACATCAATTGAGTCCTATTCTCTCATCCCTGCCCGTTTGGCGGGTGAGGTTTGGTTTCCTGCTTGCCATGTCAATGCAGAACGGCACTCGGTACAGCCAACCCACAAAGGCTTGCAACTTTCGTTTGCAATAAATAAAAAAAATTGTTGCCAAGAAATAAAAATTTGTGAGATTCTTAGCTGTAGCTGTCATGAAAGCTGCATTTGAACAAGGAGGTACATACATACAATACGGAAGCCCAGAGACGACACTGACCGCTCCATCGCGCCATCGCGCCAAATAATAGAATTTTTGACGGATCCTTCTTTTTTTTTTTTTTTTTTTTTTTTTTTTTTTTTTTTTAAGTGCTAATTGATTTTGACATTGCGCACTACAGTGAAAGCTGATATGTGTATACATGCGAAGACGTTTTTGTATCTACAATTGAATATACATACTTGATGGAGTTAAGTAAATAAATGATGACTTCTAGCGATTTCTTTGTTTTAACTGACTGTAGTAGTGAAGAAAAATGAGAAAAAGAAAAAAAAGAGAAAAAAAAACCCGAAAGAAACCGGAATCAAAAATGGAAAAGATAGAACATAAAAATAAACAAGAGTTTCTGAAAATCTACATATAACTAAAAAAATGGCCTCAGAGGGCCAAACAAACTGTCAGCTTTTGTATTGATTTCTCATGCGGCTTCTAACGCCGGCGTCGATGTTGCACATGTCAATGTCATTTAAGACTTTACAATCATAGCGACCTTCAAAAGCAAAGGACATACACCATAGGACCTTCAAACAAGTAAAATCCCCAATATCCGGGGCAAAAACAAGCAGCCTCCCCAAATTTGGGGGCATATACTAGTGAAGGGAAATAAAAGTCCTCCTCTTTTATCGTGTCTGAACAATTGGGAAAATCGATGGTCTCGACTCTCTGCGCCTTGTTTCCCAGGCAAGTCGCATTGTGGGGCCCTAACCCACAACCTCTAATTTAGATGTGTTCGAGAGAGAGAAGAAGCCACCGATCGTCCCGCCTGTCCAGATCGATTAACCCCCGAACTCCCTATAATGTTTAAGAGAAATTTTAGACAACAGTTGACTAATTTTTGGTTTTTGTTGATAGCTGAGATAGACAGATAACGGTGAATGAAAAATTTGAAAATCTAGAGAGAAAGAGAAAAAGAGAAAAGAAAAAGGTGTGCGAGAAAACTTAAGCAGCATAAGAAGAAAGATAGAAATTGTGAGATAGAGTGGATGAAAAAGTCGATTGAAATATTGTTGAAGATGGAACAGATTTTTTTTTTTTTTTTTTATTCTTTATTGTTTTCGATGTAGTTTTGTAAGTTGTTGAATCGTTTTGTTTCTAATATGAAGTTGGCTAGATATTCGAAGTTAATTGGCGAGTCGAGAATTGATTTTAAAGAGAAGATGTTGATTTTTATTTTGTTTTCTTTGATTTTGTTTCGATAGTTTTTTCTTTGAGTTTGGTATTTTTTACAATATAAAATATAGTGTTTGACATCTTCATTTGTCTTGCAATTGTTACATAGCGGCAAGTCTGTTTTTTTTATGGAGAATAAGAAGTTGTTGAGGGGGCAATGGCCTGACCGGAGTTGGTAGATAACAGCGCCTGCTCCTCTTTCGAGTTGATTTAGCTTGTTGAAAATTTTGAATGGCGGCGTAGTAAGTTTGATGTTGTTGCGGATTACTGGTTTTTTGTTTTTGTTGAATTTGTACTGGTTTCGGATTTGTTGTTGAAATGTTGAAAAAGGTTGAGGTTGAGCTTCAAGTTGAAATTGTTG